ATCTTAACTGGCATTGAAGGCTGTGTTGTCCATATAGATGACATTCTTATTCATGCAAGGACAATAGAGGAACATGACAATATTTTGAACACAGTCCTAACAAAACTTCATAGGGAAGGTATTACACTAAATAAAAACAAATGCTCTATAGCAACAAAAACAGCTAAATACTTGGGTCATATGGTCTCTGAGCAAGGGATATTAATTGATCCAGATAGGGTTAAAGCTATCCGTGATTTTCCTGAACCAAAAAATAAGACTGAGCTGTCAAGATGGCTGGGTATGATTAATTTTGCTGCAAAATACATTCATAATAAATCTGAGATTCTTGAACCATTAACACACTTACTAAAAAAAAATATTAACTTTTTGTGGGGTCCAGCACAAGATAAAGCTTTCAGCACTTTAAAACAAAAGTTAGAGAGCCCTCCAAATCTAGCGTTTTTTGATGCTAATAAAACCATAATTGTTAGTGCAGACTCAAGTTGTTTTGGTATAGGTGCATGTCTATTTCAAGAAAATGTAGATCATACTCGGGAAATAGTGGCTTTTACATCTAGGCTTCTGAACTCAGCTGAAACACGATACGCTCAGATTGAGAAAGAAGCTCTTGCACTTACATGGGCAGCAGAATATTTTTATGATTTTATTTCAGGAGTTCCTAACCTAATTTTTGAAACAGACCATAAACCTTTACTACAAATTCTGCAAACTAAAAATTTAGATGAGTTAACGCCACGTTTGCAAAGATTTCGAATGCGTTTAATGCGATACAAGTATACTGTAATCTACACGCCGGGAAAAAATTTAATTGTAGCAGATACTTTAAGTCGGGCCCCTTTACAAACAGATACGTTAGCTAATAAAGAACTAACTGCTGAAACTGCAGCATATGTGCAGTCAATTATTCATAATTTACCAATTAAAGATTATTTTTTGAATTTAATAAAAACAGAACAAGAAAATGAATATATTTGTAAAAAACTAAAAGAATATTCTTTGTCTTCTTGGCCTGAAAGATCTAAATTGCCATTTGAATTGTTGCCATACTATCAATATAGATATGAAATTTCCTATTCGGAACAATTACTTTTAAAAGGGTCTCGCATAATCATTCCTAAGAGTCTTCAACTCAAGGTGTTGGAATTTATTCATACAGGCCATATGGGAATTGTAAAATGTCGAGATCGTGCCAAACAGAGCGTTTGGTGGCTGGGTTTGTCATCCCAGATTAATAACCTTGTCACACATTGTCCCCAATGTGTTGAACACAGAGTAAATCATAGAGAAACATTTCATAAAGACAATACTGTACAAAGGCCGTGGCAAAAACTGGGGGTTGATTTGTTTAAATGTTATGATAAGTGGTATTTGATTGCCACTGACTACTTTTCACATTGGTTTGAAATTTTTACTTTAACCAATATGACAGAAGATGCCATTATTCCTAAGCTTAAAGATATTTTCTCTCGTTATGGTATCCCAGAGGAAGTTAGATCCGACTGTGGTACTCAATTTTCATCAAAATTTATAAAGTTTTCAAAAGAATATAATTTTGTTCATACGACGAGCAGTCCGCACTGGCCTCAGAGCAACGGTGGAGTGGAACGCACTGTACAAATTGCAAAAAGATTAATTCAGAAAAATAAAAAAGAGGACCTAAGTTTGGCATTGTTAGCATATAGATGTACACCCCTAGAATGTGGTGTTTCACCTTCTGAATTATTAATGAATAGAAAATTAAGATCTAACTTACCCCAGCTTCCAAGCTTATTAAACTTTTCAAAAGAACCAAACACTAAAAATAAAAAGAATGAAATAAAGGATAAACAAGTGAAAAACTACAATAAGCGACACAATGCCAAGGATTTAGATCCTCTTAAGGTTGGTGATTCTGTGTGGGTGGTTGATATCAGGAAATATGGGCGAGTTGTTGCGATCTGTCAGGAACCCAGGTCCTATATAATTGAAACTGAAACCGGGAAATTTAGAAGAAATAGATGGCATTTGATTCATGCACCCTACTGTTTCCCTGTATTGAGCACCCAACCAGAATCCTCAAATGATTATGTTCCGCCAATTTCTAGTAACACAAAGCTAATGCCTTGCTCTAATCAAAGCAATGGTGACATACAGGGTAAAATAATGGAGGAAAGTAGTAGGGGGGAACCCAGTGTATTTCAGGACAAAATCGAACAAAGTGGAAATCATGTTTTACCTCCATCGGGTCAGGATAAAAGCGATAGTGTATCGGACTTTGAGTGCGTAAAGCCTAGCAGGCCAAAAAGACTTGTGAAGAAACCGGTTCATTTAACAGATTATGTTTGTAGTAGTTTAAGTTAGTTTAGGTATAAGATCATTAATGACACAGGGATCTTTTATAAAAAAAAAGGAGATGTGTTGTTAGCTTAGATTAAGATATAGGCGCCGGAGTTAGGCAACACAGATGACAGGGATGTCATGGGAACGTAGCCGAAGCTCGGGCAAGCATGTATGTTTGAGGGTTGAGAATAAACTGATGTTGTGAAGTAACGATTATTATTTGTAACCCCTCTTTGATAACACGACATATTGCCATGGAATGAATTTGTTCACCTACCTGTATCCAAACTATATATTTCCTGGCCTCGTTGTAGACAGCAAAGTCGTAACCACTAGAGAGACAAAGTACTGGGTTAAACAATTTTTTTTTCAGTTTTTTATTTTTTAGTATAATATTCGAGGTAATTTTTATTGTAAAACATAAATATTTATGAATAATATATAGTTCTTCAATAAACTTCGTAAATAATTTATTATATTAGATTTTATGAAGAAAACATTACTACCCTATTATCTTATTCAATTATTTCTAAAAATAGTATTTATTTATGTATTACTTTGGAAATAAAAAGTTCCAAATTAACTAAGTTTTACTTATTGGTAAACATGCTAGGCGGGTGGCTTTTGTCGAAAAACGTCGATTTCTGACCCACATGCTGAAACTTTTTGTAAACGATTTATTATGACGCCAATATGCTATGTTGAAAAGTTTATCTTTTTTTACAGAGAGAGAATACATACTGTTAGTTTGCGATATGAACCTCAAAAGATATTTTATTCGAAAATATTGATAAAGATATCGAACTGTGGGAAAATATTCCACCAAAATTGCAAGTTTTTTGTTATAATTTTTATTTGAAACACCTAACAAAACATTACGCATACTTCTATATTTATATAGTTTCATTTTATCGATTTTAATGATCGTGATATTAAACAAATGTTTATAATATATAATTATATTCTTCGTTTTTTTTTAATTTTCATTTCCGATAAAAAACTATGTTAAAATTCAGACAGCCAATTTTTCCGTAAAAAAAGTGACAAAAGATTTATGTATAGCATTTTTTAAATAAAAAAGCTTTCACGTCATTCAAGATGTACGTCGTCAGAACCCCACAGCGTTGTCAAAACATCAGAATAGTTAGTAAGTGAGGAATTTTTAAAATGTCAACTATTTGTCAAACTATTATACTAACAGTAAATACACTTAGTTTTAAGACTACTGCAACACATTAAAATACATAAGAAAACATTTTAAACAACTTACAACTAATACTCTTTTAGGGCTTAAATAGTAAAAACGTCCCGTCAATATTTTTTGTTCAAAATAATCTATTTTATATGAAAGCTTATCAGCTTTCTACAGACCATTTATTTGTTTTGACATATCACAATTACAATACACAACAATAATTAGTTTTTAAAGCTATTAATCTAAATGGAATATGTATTTATAACTACAAATTATTAATATATATTATATTATCATCAAATTGTGTAAGAAATCAAAACATAAACAAAATTCTTACTCTAAAAAAGCGACAACACTTTATACACTTTTGCCACATGCTTAACTGTCAATAAAATTTGAAGTATTTCCTTATCAGTTGCGTACAATTGTCTAGTATATTTAATTAAAATTATGATTTTGTGGAATATTAGACTTGAGTTATTTCATAAAATTTATATTATAAATAATATCAAATGTTTTTGGTTATTTAATCAATATAATTCTAAAATTTCCAATATAATGATGACTACATTTTCTGATTATTATACCATGTTGAAGCCTATGAAAGATAGAGTAGTTCCGTATGGGTTTCATATTATTGGCTGTGTTAGGAAAATTTGAACTCTAAGGTTGATGTTCTGGAAATTTTAAATATAAGTGACGCCACTTTGTATAAATCGTGATGTGCAAGTGTTTTACTTTGAAAAATGGTATATGTACCTTTGTTACATTGTAAATTTATTATCTGTCACCTGTCACTTCAGGGGGTGTCCCGGTTGTATAATCGGCTCGAGTATATAAGATGAAAGCATTTTGACCTGGACTGGACTTGAGAGAGATATCTGAATGACGCTTAGAAAATTACTTTATGAACAGATTTTATTTTTGTAGAGAAAAAAATTTTTTTGAAATAGAGATAGCTCACTGAAATTCACTGTTAGGATTTTCGAGGATGGGCTTTAAGCTTGAAATTTAAATAACCAACTAAAATAACCAAAACAGCCAATTTTAGCGTTTTTTTATGCCATTTTTAATACGTTGGACATCATATTTAAAGAAATAAAAAAATATGAAATGAAAGCTTAAGTTAAGTATTTAAAAATGCACAATTCCATTTTGATTTTATATTGCAAATTTAATTTAAAACATCCATAAACAAATTGATATATTATATTTTTGGGTTTTGGATATATAGACTTGGCAAACATCTGGATTTTAACATTCAAAACACATTGTTTATTTCCTACCCACGAATATTTTCCTAAATCTTGTTTTAATTGAAACAATATCATTCTGCAATGTTATAGTAAAAAGTTTACCCAAAATATACCATGGGAACCTGCTAAATAAAACAAACTAACTTTTAGTAATATTAATCTTTAATAAAATAACAAGGCTTTAAAAGCCTGAACAACTTATTTGAAATAACAATCTTAAAAGTTCTGTTACTTTCTCATCAGTCTTTATTTTCTACTTTAGAGAACTAACTGTTCAGTTGATGTCATTTTTCCAAAATACAAAATATTTCTAAAAATATTAAATTTGTAAGACTACAGATTTATTTCTACAGTGGAATCTTGGATGGGAATGTTGGTAAATAGAAATGAGACACATCCAATCCAATCTAATCTAATAAAATGTGAAGAATTGTAGGTATAGGACAAAGTACAACTAGTATATCCTTTATTGGTTTCATAACTACTTTGTGAGTTTGTACGTTAGTGACTTAATTATATTGAGAATAGAGTGAAGCAAGAGATTTTTTTGGGAATTTTGAGAATACTAAATTATGGAACATAATATATTTTCAGAAATTTTAGATTTTATCCCATTGGGGAAATCCTTTGATGATGGAAATTTGATTTAATTTTGATTCATAATTAATCCTAATGTTGTAAATCATTGACTTTTTCTGCATAGACAGATATATCTAGCATGACAGTTAAATCGAATTAAATGAACCTGGCAAGAAGAAAACAGAGACTTTTGAGAGCTGCAAATTCATCATGCAAAATATAAGACACATATGGTTTGGCAGTATTCACTGCAGAAATAAATCTACATTTGTAAAATACATTTCTTATAGCTTTACAACAATTTTCAGTGTAAACAGTTTTTGCATTTGGATGAAGAAACTTACAATATTTTATTGAATATTAATGAGAAATTATGCCAACACCAAATAAAAATAGAATAGAGTGCTATCCATTATATTTACAAATTCCACCATTTTATCATATTTATATTACTTATTTTTTTTATTATATTCTCAATTACTTAAATAATTCCAAGACTTAGCTGATAGAAAAACCTACATGAACTTCTTGTAAAATCATTAAAAACCTTGATGGCACAAACTTATTCCAGCTGTTACACTTTGCTTACAAATTCTAATAAATTATTAAACCTTTTATTGTTCAGTAAACCTGATGCTCAAATTTCACTATGTTATAAAACAATTTTATCTACAGCATTTTTTGCAGATAAAATTACATCATTAACACCAACCCCATAGTAGGATGACCCACAGAGATACAGAGGTAACTTTTTGTCGTCAATATACTCATTAATTCTTTCTACAGTTTCATTATGCCCAACCCTATACTGAGGAATACACTTTTCAAGAATGCTTACTTTGGATCTCACTGGTTCTTCATTAATATTTAATATTGATCTTAATTGTTCTGTAGCAGTTTGTAAGAGTAAATCTTCACTGGGATTTTTACCAAAAAGTTGTTCAAACCAGGCACCACCCATCATCACTGTCAGTACTGTGTTATTCCCTTTGGGAAAACAACAACTGTCATAAGTAACACCCAGTATTGGAAGGTTTTCTCTAGGAGGAACTAAGAAACCAAATCCTTCTTTCGTTATCAGTTTCTGGTCATACTGTAAATTAACCACACCTACAGTAACACTTTTAATACTGTCTAAAAGTGAAGACAATTCTGGATGTTGATTTCTTAATAATTGTGCCAAGTTTTCTGAAGAAATACAGCTGATTACTTTGGATGTTTCTACGAATTTTCCATTATTTAGCTCCAAAAATACTTTATTTGAATTGATCTCTAAGTTAATACATTTTGTGTTCAGTTCTACTAATACATCATTTTTCAAAGAAGTTTCTAATCTTTCTGTAAGGGTCTCCAAACCATTTTTAAATGAATAAACACTCCATCGTTCTTTTTTTGATCTTAAAGCTAGTTCACTAAGTGTAGATTTGTTGGAATTAGAATTAAAAATATTCCTTACTAGTCCCCTAAATATGCTTCCATATTTTTGCTCATAGTCAAACATAGTTTTCATTAAGAAATTTACACTTATCTCTTTAGCGTTGCCAGCACAAATACCACATATCATTGAACTTATTAAGTAGTCAGCAAACTCTATTCCAAATCTCCTCTTAGTAAATTCATAAATAGATTCATCTTTAACACTCTTTTTAAAAGCAAATAAATCTTGTGCTAGATATCTAACTAAAGGCTTTGTAAAGGGTGGTATTGTTTTAAATAAACTTCCCACAGAAGAGGGAAGAAAGTGTAACTGCCCATTAACATATATCATACGGTTTTTAGCTGCAGGTTGTGTTGAATAAATCGGTAGTACATCTTTCCCCAGACCAATCTCTTCAATCAACGACAGGGTGTTTGCAGCGGCTGGTCCATGAGGCCTAATTGTTCGTGGACCTTCTTCAAAAATGACATTGTTATCCAACGAATTAGATTTTATCCAGCCCCCTAGGCGATTCGAAGCTTCCAAGAGTGTTATTGGCTGTTTAGGAATTTTTTTAAGTAAATAATAACCAGCTGAAAGGCCGGACAATCCACCACCAACAATAACAGCTGACATTTTGACGTTTGTTATTGTTTTTAGGATTTTAGGTTAGGTTAACCTTAAAAACGCGTATGAGGTTAATCCTAACTTCTTTTTTAAATGCATTTTCGTTTGAGTCAGTGACTATTTGAACAAGATTTGAACATTTCTATTTGTTTATATAGATATAACCTACAAATTTATTCAAAAATTTGTGTTCGACAATTTCGAGTTTAAATGTTAAAATGAATTATTTTAATAAAATATCTTCCATACGTGTTATTAGGGTTATTAAGATTTTAAAGGATTTTAATAGTAAACAGGTAATTTACATTTTATATCTTATTACAAAGAAAGTAAAATTGGCCAAATTTTTGAGGAATTGAGAACTAATGTTACAGAAATGTCAAAATTAAAGTTATTTTTAAGGCATATACACTTATAAAATACTTTTTGTTAATTTTGTCATAGTAAGTAGTTTCCATGTAGTATCTGACTTTGGGGAGTTGAATTGTTGGCACACATTTTTTTAACTTGAACCATAAGGATTAAGTAGGATTTAAAATACAGTAAGGTGAGCATAAAAGGTCATGCATTTAATTATCAACTGCATTTTCATAAGACAGAATTTCTCGCTTTTAACATATCAAGTAGGTATTTCTTAGTGTAATATTATTTGAGTTGCTCTCATCCAATGCAATAATAGTTTGCTAATAATTAGGTTCCAATTTCAACAATAAATGAGTCTCAAACCAGTTTTCAAATAAACTACTTTCTATTAAAACTTAATTACTTAAAATGTATATTAGTTTCCCCCATTTAAAGGAACTGCTACATACTTGGAATTTGTATCTGTCCCACACTTGTTTCATTAATAAATTTGAAAATAAATTCTTTAAATTTTTGAGGCTCATTCACCATTGTAAATGTGTATCCATTTTTGTAACAGTTTCCGGAGTGGAAATTGAAACATCAATAAACATACTTTAACCTTTAATTGTGGCTTATTCCCAGTTAAATAGTAATTACTTTAAAATGCCACAAGAGAATAGCTTCAGAACAACATTTTACTTAAGAAATCAACATATCATTTTCAATAATTAGTTTGTTTAAGTTCACATATCCTCCAAATGATCCAGTAAGTATAGTCAGAGAAGACCCACTATAATTTTGTGACTTTTTATCTTTTGGTCCTTTCTTTACAACTTTATAGACATTGAAAGCAGAACACTTGTGAAAAATGTCAATTCTAATAGCCTCAACATTGGGAAGTTGCTTAAGGGATCTTTAAATAAATAAGATGTGTTTATAAATATTTTTTGTAATCTAAAACTTTTCATGTTATAATAAGATCAATAATTACTTATTATAATAAACATTTAGATCTCTTTGTTCAGCATCTACTGACAAATGTGTATGTTTCCTTCTCTAAATCATTGCTAAAATTACATTAACAAATTGTCTGCATTTTTCCTGTATTTAAAAACCTATATCAAGAAATTGTATTTCAACTTCTTGCTTTCAATAAATTCAATATTTATACCTAAACTACTGTAATATTAGAGCTCATAATACTTTGTTCTTAATTTGTTTATTGTCACTTAATAATGAAGGTAGACTGTATAAAGATTTGGGTTTCCCATCTCTTAGAATTTGCTACATAATAAGTTTTATCCAGAAATAATTCATATCATGGAAATGGACAGTATGGTTAGTATTAGGCTTCAACAGTCTATGGTTACCTATCCTCCAGAGAAACTATTTTAAAAGCATCAGGTTTATAGTAAAACTCTTTCTTTTTTTTTAAACCTTTTAACTTTTCTTATTTATAAATATATTTTGATTTTAGCTACATAACTACAGTAGAAGATACTTCAGACATTATTCAATAAAAACCAAATCAACCACATCATATGTTGAGCCTGATACTAGAGAGTCTTTAAATTGCAGTAATAAGTATACACACAGAACATACACTTGTGGGGAATTAAGAAGTGCTAACATAGGTGAAAAGATAGTTCTATGTGGATGGTTAGAATATCAAAGGATGAATAAGTTTGTTATTCTTAGAGATAGTTATGGGCAAATCCAACTTTTAATAAAAGAAGAGGTAGTTTTTTTTTAATTTACATAGATCATATATTATATTTTAATTAAGTATATCAATGATAGAACCATTTTACAAAAGAAAAAGGATGACAAATATACAGGTATAAATGAGATTATCTGCAATAATAATTAGATTTGGCATTACAACAATATGCTAACTCACAGATTTGAGCTTAGGGGAACTTTCTAAATATTAAAAAAATCAATTTTTATTTTTTTACATTAAAACATCCCTTAGTATCATATAAATACTGTCCTCAAATTTTATTTAAGAAATTTGAAACAGAAACGAAGTTATAGCTGTATTTATAATGTTTACACCTGAGCTAAAACTCATATGTATGCAATACCATGTGCCCTGCTTTACCTGTGCACTAACATACTCGACAATTGCTTTCTAAAACTTATAAAATTGAGTATGTGTTTTATAGTATTGAAATTTATCGAAAATTATTTTGAAAATCAGAAAAAAGGCCTGGATCTGGTGGTCATTTAAAAAGCAGTTGATATAAACATAATATGAAAAGAAAATTCTCAAAGTTAATCGGTATACTATAGAAAATAATTCTGAATTACTCAGTTCCTCGGCAAAATTGGAGATAAAACTAAAAGTTGAAGAAATGGCGATGAGTTGGTCGAAAAATATTAACAAAGCCATATTGCTCAAGTCAATAGAAGGAGCAGTGAGACATTAAAAGAGGGTATAGTTATGAAAAACAGCTTTGGCCGACCATTTACAGCTTTTACTGGACAGAAATTGCTGATTAGAGATAAAAAATAAATATGGCTATTTTATTATATAAAATTGTAGTAAAAACACTTTAAATGCATTTTTCATAAACTCACATTTTTTAAAACTTGGGGACGTTTTTTTTCTAAATTTACGACACCAATCTCAATAAACCAATTTTTATTTTGATACTTCGAACTTTCGAACTTTTCATAAAATTATGACCATAAATATAATACTTTTGTTTAATATTTAAAAATTGTCTTTTTTTTTTCAATTTGAAAGTAAAAATTTCCTTAATTTTTTAAGTTACTACCTATTGAAAAAAACTAAGGAGAGTACAGGGTGCTGAGCATGTTGAGTTCAATTTAAAGTGTTGAAGTTACTCTTTAATCAATACATAATAATATACTTCTGAATAACTTGCTTACATTTTTAGGATATAGAGACGCAAAAATTGCTTGAAAATATACCATTGGAATCAGTATTAAAAATTGAGGGCACAGTTATGGCTCGACCAATAAACATGATCAACAGAAATCAGTCAACAGGTGAAATAGAAGTATTAGTAAATAAATTTGAGGTAATTATTCAAGTTTTTTGTGATTGATACTAATTAGAATCAAAATTACTTTGATTCTAATTGATCAGACATATCGTGACCAAACTGGTAAAGTAGCGAATGTGCAAAATTGACATATCTTTTGATATGTTATGTTATCTTATTGAAAGTTCTTCGAGCTCTTTGTTAGTTCTTATCGTATATTGTCCTGATGCTTCATCCAGCACAGGACCAAATATCTTTCTTAGGATTTTTCTTTCCCAAACACATAGTCTCTCTTCGTTTGCCTTTGTTATCGTCCACGTTTCGCTTCCATACATTACAACTGGTCGTATGATTGTTTTATATACCTGTGTCTTCATACATCTTGTTAGTTGTTTCGACTTTGTAAGGTTTTGGAGGGCAAAAAGACATCTGTTGCCGGCCTGAATCCTGTTGTTTATTTCTTGTGATCCGATATTGTTGTTCCAAGATACTTGAATTATCTAACGCACTCAAAGTTAAAGTCATCGATGGTGATATTCTGACCGATTCTGTCTCTGCTTTGGTTATTGCGGCTCATATACATATATTTCGTCTTGTTTTCGTTGATTTGGAGCCCCATTTTCCTTTCTTCCTTCTCGAACCTCACGAAAGTCTCTTTCATCCTTAATCGTGTGTTTCCTATTAGATCGATATCATCTGCAAATGCCAGTAGTAAGTTTGGTCCTTCTCGATGAAATACTGTATTCAGTTTTTCGATTCTTGCACTTCTGATTATGTGCTCCAGAGCTAAGTTGAAGAGTTGTGGTGAAAGTGCATCTCCCTGTTTTAGTCCATTGTTTATTTCAAATGTATCTGAGTATTGTTGTCAACTCTCACCTTACATCGTAACCGTTCCCTACACATCCGTATCAAACTGATTAGTTTTTTTAAAAAGCCAAGTTCCTGCATCACTGTCTATCACTGTCTGGCCCTACATACTCTATCAAATGCTTGTTTAAAATCTATGAACATCTAATGAAGCTCACGATCAAACTCACAGCATTTTTCCATTATCTGTTTTATAGGGAATATCTGGTCAATAGTAGAGCGGCCCGGTCTAAATCCGCATTGATAATCTCCAACGATTTCTTCTGTATATGTTTTGGTTCTTTCTAGTAGGATGTTTGCAAGGATTTTGTAGGTGGTGTTTAGTAGTGATATTTCCCGGTAGTTAATACATTGATTTTTGTTTCCTTTTTTGTGTATTGGTACAATAACCCCTTCTTTCCATTCATCTGGCATTGTTTCTTCTCGCCAAATGTCTTGAATTAGCTTGTATATAGAACTGTACAACGCTTCTCCTCCATGTTTTAAGCACTCTGCGGGTATACCATCGCTACCTGGTGTCTTATTATTTTTAAGTTTTTTAATTGTCTGTATTACTTCTTCGTATGTCGGGTATTGGTCTTCTATTTCAGCTGTATGTACCTCTATGTTTGATGTATTTCTGCTAGATTGGTCGTTCAATAGTTAATAGAAGTATTCCTTCCAGGTTTTTAGGATATCCTTGTCATCAGTGATAAGTTGCCTTCTGTAGTTTTGAAGGAAGTTTCCTGTTCTTGCTGGGTACCCAGTCTTGATAGCTGAAACTCCTTTGAAGAACTGTCTCGCTTGTTTGTTCTTTCGTTTTTCTTCTATATCTCTGAGTATTTGTTCCTGATATTCCCTCCTTTTCCTTTTCATTAGTTTTCTTGTCTCTGTTTTTCTTTGTCTATACATTTCATTGGTGTTGTGCGAGGGATGTTGTAGCATGTTCCTTTTAGCCATATTTCTTGCTTTTATGGAGTTCAGGCAATCATTATCGAACTATTTTTTTGTTGTTTTCTTTTTGTGTCCTAGTATTTCATCTGATACGCTTGTCAGAGCTAATTTGATATTTTTTCAAGCTGAGTATGTGTTGTTATAGTCTTCTGTCTTTGTTAGAGCGATTTTAATAGCCTTTTGAAATTTCTGTTCTGTGTCCTTATTACGTAGAACATCGGTATTCCATAATTGTATTGGTGTATTCTTGTGTGTTTTTTTGGACGCTATTCTTGTCCTGATCTTCGCTTTTACCAGAAAATGATCCGTGTCTCCATTAACTCTTCTTAGGCTTCTTACGTCTAGACAGTTACTACCCCTTCTGGCATCTACTATACTACGTTCCACGTTAAGAAAATAACATTGCGGAGATAGGGCCATGTATTTCTTATGGACGATAGAAACGCGGCGTTGCCACGACACACACAACACAATTTAAGGTTGTATAATTTGTATTTTCGTTTCCACAGACATGAATTAAATTAATGTTTTTTAACGTAATTGACCAAAAGTGCCCATTCGAAACAAGAGATGAAAAGTAGGGAAAATGATTTTAATTAGATAAATAGTATTTACAAAAGATTATTTTATTTTATCTTATTTTAATTATAGTAACGACAGTTTATTTGTTTTTCGATGAGCCATGAATCATAGAAATCAGTAGAAAATATTGCTTAGTTAAATCATGCATTTTGCCTACTATTAAAGTTTTAAAAGCAAATAAACGGACTTGGAATGCGTATATCTAATTACTAATTGTAACTTAAAATAATACGATTTGCGTATGTCAGCGATTTTATGTCGTTCTCTGACTACATAATGAAAATAAGGCTTTTATTTTGTAGTTATTCTGCCTCTTTACAGTTAAATGTTAATTGAAAATGAAAATTCAAAAATTAAGCAAAGGGAATATCTTGGACATCCGTGCAAAAGAGAGTGTCTGAGAGTTTTGGCAACACTGATCTCTATAGCGTAATGTTATTTTCTTAACTTGAAACAAAGAATAGAACACACTATGCAAGGAAGAAATAAGAATACCAATATTTAGCCAGTGCCTTAAATGTAACAATTATGCACAACTTGTATAAAGAAAAGTGCATCGAAGAAAACAAAAATCCAGTATCTTTAGAAAAGTACAGACAAATTTTTCGTGAGTACAAACTGAAATTTCACAAACCTGCTAAAGGTCGTTGTAAATAATGTATTGCTCATGAAGAGCAAAAAGGAGATACAAATTATGTTGATACTCTCTATACTGAGCATATTAACTGTAAGGAAGTAGCACGAAAAATTAGAGATCAAGACAAAGAGGATACAAAGGACCAATAAAGTGTTTTGGCAATACAATCATATCCCCAAGTCGTTTTAAACGCACCAAAAAGAGCTAGTTGACCATTCTTCTACATCAAAAAGTTGTTGTATAGAACCTCAGATACCATTTGCAATCTTAAAGATGCCAGTGTTTCCTGTTGTGTCTGAGACGAAACAGAAGGAAACCGAGGCAGTATAGAGATATATCGACATGCATTTATACTTATTTGATGGGCCAAACCAATACAGAATTTGTCAGAATGATGTCGGATAGCTGCGGAGGACAGCAAAAAAAAAATCCAAATTCCTTGCCATGTGCATGAATGTTGTTAAGGAGCATCCCTAGATCAAACATTGATTACAGGTTTCTTGGACATGGACGTAGCCAAATGGAGTGTAACTCTATTTTTGCCAAAATAGAGCAGCAAAGTAAAAATGTCCCAATTTTTACTCCGAAGGGGTGGTGCTTATAATTCGCACTGCTAGACGTAAGCCAACACCATTCAAGTAATGCCTTTGTACCATGATGACTTCATTGATTTTTGTACTGATAAGATTGTTTTTGAGGACCCTGACAGTGGCGATAAAATATATAACCACTTACCCTTCAAAAAGGCCATTTGGCTTAAGTACCTGTCAACTCATCCAGATGCTTTATTCGTGAGGACGGATTACTCAGAAGACGCACCTTTTGTGAAGTACATTGCAAAAAGGATGAAAAACAAACGGAGAAGACCTTCTTCTAATAATTCTCCAATAAAATCTTACAAATCAAGGTTCCCAATTGGTACCAAAAAACTAAAAGACCTTCAAAAGCTTAGTAAGGATCTTGAAATACTACATGTTTACCATGATTTTTACACAAATCTTCCCTCTGAGGACTGTACACGAGATGCCCTTCCAGAGCCAGATGCATCTGAAGAATCTGCGAGGGAATCATAACAACTAAATCAATAATCTTCTAAATTTTAAAGCAAAATTATATAATAGTTTAGCGTTTTATTAAATTTGTTCAATCTTAAAGTTCTCTATTCTGTTCACCCACGTAATGAGAAAACATTACAGTATCATATAGGTGATACATAAGTACATTCTCATTTAACACAAAGGCAGATTCTATATTTTTTACAGCATAACATTCTAACAATAGTCATTGGTAAACTAACGAATGTGACTTTTTTAGTAACTGTGGTTACTTAGCCTATTTTCATTATTAACCTTTTTTAGGCATTTTTTAAGGTTTCCTGATCAGACGTGTAAAGACAAATAATATTACAAACAGATTTTTAGTCGAAGCCCAAACTGTTTTTTAGCTCTTCTGAAAAGTAGCGAATATGCACATTCGCTACTTTATCAATTTGGTCACGATATGATGTTCCATGAATTGTTGAATGCTCTATTACCATCCCCCATAAAAGTCTCTGAATATCTACTAAGTTTTACTATATTTTAAATATATTATATAAATTTTTTATGGTGTATTATTTTTTACACTCTGTTTAGTATTACTTACTATGTATTTTTATATAAATTTGTTGAAATTTTGTAGGTACTTAATAAGGCTAAAGAAAATTTGCCTTTCAATATTAGAGAATTCCAAAAAGCAAAAGAGCCTTTGAGGATGCAGTATAGATATCTAGATCTTCGGTTTTCACAAATGCAACGAAATCTAAGGTATAGATCGGATTTATTTATGAAAATGAGAGAGTTTTTGTGCAATAACAATTTTGTAGATGTAGAAACGCCAACGTTATTTAAAGCAACACCAGGGGTAAGTAAGTAAAAGATTCCTCTTTTTATTAGTAAGAGAAAAAGAATTACTTAGGATAATATATCAACCAATCATATGAAGTAATTTTTCAGTCTTGTAATGGAAATCGAATCGAAATGTAAAGTAAACCGAATGGAATCGATTATCGAATCTTACTTGGACGCTCCTTGCTTAGACGATAAAAAAAAGCTATGCTCATCTTTCTCGGTCACTTCCTGAGTGACACACCCCGTTTTTTTTTTGTGGAAATATCTAGTAGTACTATGTATCGCAATTAAATAAGCATAGCCTAACCACAGAATAAATAACAATCAGAATGCCCACTCTCAGATGCCGCCTTTGAAGTGTGTCAGCACGCGATCACCATATTTTAAACGAAAACATAGACTCGAATTGAGACATTTGTGACAAGCTACGACAGAACTGTAATTTAAATTTGTAGATAACAATAAAACACTGAAAACTTTGTTTTCAAACTTCCACAAAAATTTACTTTAACTCTTATTACTACAGCTGTTTCGGCTGATTGCCTTTCTCAAGTGATCTATTTTTGGCATGCGTTTACACTTTATAGTCTCCAATGAAATAGGTTGAGGAGGGGAGAACTGTTTGTCTCAAGTTGGTCATTTAGAATTATATCTGTGTTTTAATCTGTGTTTTGTTGATTTCCTTAGATTCTAAAAAGGATAGCTTAAGGACTTTATTTTGAATGTGAAGAATTTTAAATTCGTCGTTAAAAGAATGATTGGGATCTAGAAGGTGAAGTACGTATGTAGAATCTGTTTTTCTATTATTGAAAGCCCTTTTATGTTCTACTATTCGTTTGTTAAAGTTTCTACCAGTTTGACCGATGTAAGTTTTTGGGCAGTCGCCACATTTAAGTTTGTACACACCACTGTGTAAGTGTTTTTTATTTTGGCTCTTGTTGTTTTTGATATATTTGCTTAGGTTGTTATTTGTTCGGAAATAAGGTGTTATTCCTTTCTTTTTATGTGTTTGGCTATTTTTGTTGTAATTTTGCCTGTATATGTAATCGAACAGAAGGTACTGGTTTTTTTATCTGGTGGTGGAAATACTAATTTCAGGGCTTTCTTGTGTAGTTTTTGATTTAACATTTTATTAATTGTTTGTTCATTGTATCCGTTGTTTACTGCTATTTGCTTAATTATATTTAATTCTGTCTCAAAGTTGTATTTTTGACATCGGAATTTTTGTTAATCTATGTAACATAATATGACATGCTGTCAGTTTATGTTGTGTTGGATGGGATGATGAATTGTGTATAGTCGTGTCAGTATGGGTAGGTTTGTGAAATATGGAGAAGTCATGTTTGTTTTTAAATCTGATAATTTTTAAATCTAAAAAATTTATAGATTGATTTTGTTCTGTTTCTATTGTAAATTCAATATGACTATGAAGTGAATTAATATACGATAAAAATTGGTCGAGTTGCCTGTTAGTTCCTGTGAAACATACTAGTACGTCGTCTACGTATCTCCACCAATATAAAAACTGTTTAAATACGGGATGTTTTGAAATCTTTGTCTCTAGATGATCCATAAATATATCTGATAGCAATGGGCTTAGAGGATAGCCCATTATAAGTCCTGCACTGTTATTTGTATATATTTGATTATTAAATTCAAAGTAGTCCTGGTTTAAGCAAACTTCAAGAAGATGTAAAATTTCAGATGTAATTATTGGATTTGTACTATTTTGGTCTAAAAGGTTTTTTTACTAGAATAAAAGTTTCTGTAGGAGGGATACTAGGAAAAAGATTTTTTACGTCAAATGAAATTAATCTGGAGTTGTTAGGTAATTGAACATGTTGTATTTTATTAACTAGTTCTATTGTATTTTTTATGGTAAATTTTGGTGAAAATTTAATGTGTTCTAAAATAATTTCCAACAGTTTTTTTTGAAAGTTTATATGACGGAGCAGTATAAAAAGAAACTACAGGTCTTATTGGGTGATCCGGTTTGTGTAGTTTAATGGAAGAGTATAATTTAGGAGGCTGTGGGTTCATGATATTAAGGTATTTCTGTTCTATTGGATTTACTATTGATTTTGAATTTTCTAACGCTAGCTTAATTTGTTTTTAATATTTTTCTGTCGGATCTTTGTGTAAAGTTTCAACATTTTGATTATTTAAGAATTCTATTGTTTTGTTATTATATTCTATTTTATCTATAGCAATAGTAGTGTTATCTTTGTCTGCTTTTGTAAACAATATGTTGTTTTCTATTGATTTATTAAATATAAAATTATTCACATTCAAAATAAAGGCCTTAAGCTATCCTTGTTAGAATCTATGGAAATCAACAAATTAAAAAACACAGATATAATTCTGAATGACCAACTTGAGACAAACAGTTCTCCCCTCCTCAACCTATTTTATTAGAGACTATAAAGTGTAAACGCATGCCAAAAATAGATCACTTGAGAAAGGCAATCAGCCGACACAGCTGTAGTGATAAGAGTTAAAATAAATCTTTGTGGAAGTTTGAAAACAAAGTTTTCAGTGTTTTATTGTTACATAAAATAAATTTCCATCAAGTAACGGTCGAATCTATCAATTAAATTTTTAGAGATTAAGCACGTAGTGTTCGTGTATATCAAGGTATAAAAAAGTGCTTATTAAAAGCTTAAAACTTTATTTTAAAGATCTTTTCGGAATTTAAATCATTCCGTCATCAGTTTAATAAAAAGTTGTTAAAAACATTGTTTGGCCACAGAAAAACACTAGAAGGACATCAGTAATAAAAAATCCTCGTGGAATTTACCATTAACTTCAGTAATTGATAAAAAAACTACAACTGGGGGCATTTAACATGTCCCCCAGGAGCTGGTGAAATTTTGTTGACTTACATTACCTCTGAACTGTGTTGGAGTCTAGGGCTAACTGGATATCTCCACTTCATGGTTTTATTCCAGTTTCATTTTTAATTTTTTTAAATTTTCTAAAGTTAGCCCTAGAATCCAACATAGTTCAGAGGTAATGTAAGTCAACAAAATTTGCAGCAGTCATTTTTGCCTTTTTCTTATCTTCCTATGTTGAACTCTAGTGAGGTGTTATTTGAGACTTACTTATTCATATTTTAATTTAAAAATCCGAACTAATTCTTCACAATTTCGAATTTTCAATTGTTTTTTGATCAAAACACATTACAATTTTTTGAGCTTTCTCTCCAGGTGATTGACTTTTAATAATTTTATTTATAGTTTATAAGAAGACAGTTTTAATTATATTATTTGTAGATTTGTACATACTTCAATTAAAAATTTGAATCATAATATTTTTTCTAAAAAGATTCATTAAAAATTAAATGCTATTCTACGACCACGCGACATCTACAATTATAAAAATATCTAAAGTTGCATTTGTTGCCCCACTCTTTCATATTTTAGAAGCAATAAAAGCGTATGACCAACCTTTGCCGACGCTAAAAAATAACAGTGAAAGATCCTTCTACATGCGTCTATATTCTTTGCCCAAACTGTGGCCGTTGGCTTAAAACCATATTGTGACCATATTATAAAGAGATATTGTTAGAGGAAAGTGGGAAAAGACTACGAATGGAGCTATTTAACTTATGCATCCACGCTGAATAAAATTTCAGTGCCATTGATTTGCATTTTTTAAAATTATTTATTAACATTCATTAATATTAAATTGTTAAAAGACTAAGAGAAAAATCTAAAGAATGTGATCACATCACAGTAATGAAAGTGCGAAGCTGGAGAGAACAAGTCATTCGACAATCTATTAAAAGAAAAGAAGAAAGTGATTCGCCGCAAAAAAATGAATCAAAAGAACGCTAAGATGAGAGCGAAATGAAAAGCTTTTAATTATAAGTATATTTCATTAAGAGAAATCCAGCTTCTAAAAGTCAATAAATTTACTTTTTAATTTGATTTATTTAACGTATTTTATTTTTACAGGGAGCTCAGGAATTTATCGTACCAACTAGATTTCCAGGCCAGTTCTACTCATTGGTCCAAAGTCCACAACAGTTCAAACAAATGCTTATGGCCGGAGCTATCGATAGATACTTCCAAATAGCTAGGTGTTACAGAGACGAAGGTGCCAGATCAGATAGGCAACCAGAGTTCACGCAATTAGACATAGAAATGTCCTTTACAAGCGATGAAGGAGTTATTAAGCTTATAGAGGAATTGCTTCAGTATTGTTTAAGTAAGGAATTAGATATTGGGGATGAAGGATTTAAACGGATTTCTTATAATGAAGCGATGGAGAAGTATGGGTCGGACAAACCAGATGTTTCTTTTGAATTTGAAGTAAGTAAACAATAATCTACACGTTTATTTCAAGTGGTAAGCTTTTGATAATTGTAAAATTAGTGATTTTGTAGCAAGATAACGTTGAGCTCCAATTGTGTAGCAATTGAACGCAGGGTTTTTTTTGTGGAGACTAGCTCTCTCAAGTGTAGTAGGTTCTTGTTTTAATATAAAATGTACAATGAGGAAATCAGATGGGACAAATATAGAAGATAATTAAATTATCATATTGATTAATAAGAAAAGGTAATGAAAAGTTGCTATACTTTACAAAATATCAAAATAAAAAGATCAAATCTGCATAAAAATAATAAATACTTCTCCTTGTGGTTTTTACATGTCTTTATTAAGGTTTTGTTGAAGAAAGCTTGTTGCATTTAATTATTATAAATCTAATAAACGTGTCAATAATAATTTATTTATTATTTTATTTTTGACATGACATCTTAGATAATTGACAGAAAGTTACGAAAATCCATTCTGCCAATCGAGTTTTCATGGAACTTTCTATGTAGGCTTCTAATAAGTAGGTAAATACTTGCACAAAGCTGTTTGCTGGAACTGCTACTATTTTATGTACTGAAGCGGCAGATGAATAGATGAATGGCGGTAGTTTGACTTTTTTTAGTTGTCTCAAAATACTTTTCTTTCCACATGTTGGCCTTTTCCTGTAGGGTCTCGTTCTTATGAGTTAACTCGGTTACTAACCTTTTGAGAAATTCGAAACTTTCACTTTTGACCTCTGCTTTGTTCGGATTTACTCTGCTAACCTCAATCTCGATTGTATTATCACCACAACAAACAATTCGGGATTTATCAATGAAGTGTATGTTCTCACTCCAGTCTCTTCTAAAACAAGAGTAATGGATATTTAATAACACCTGAAAATTTTTCCTACAACAGTTAAAAGTCGGATTTTTCAGGAGTGTCATCAGTCGCCTGTTTACTAGACGACGCTATCTTCTCATCTCAATTTAATTCTCAATTTCTCCATTTTAGAATAGAATGACAGAACTTGTCCGTCAAATAGCGAAAAAAGCCAGGCGAACGAATTGCATTCACTTCACCATGGATATTCTTGTGAATATATGAATCAAATCCTGTCCAGAAAACAAAAAGGGTAACGTACTAGTATAATATCTAAATGGATCTGATACTTAGACTAGAATACGCTGGTGTATCAAATTGACTTATGTCTCAGTACGGCAAGAGATGGGGAACCTTTATTCTTATAAACTCCTGGACAAAATTAAATAGGTAGATTGACTCTTGGTAGCCTGGTAAAAACTGACTTTTGAATTGAGATTTTTTCTTGTTGCTATAGTAGCACCACACATTTCAATTTATCTACTATTTTTAAGAATGTTTTGGAAATTATGTACGTTTTTATATATTATTTTTTATTGTAGCTGAACAACTGCACCGATATCCTCAAGGAAAACAGCAATTTAGCCGCTAACAAAAATTTCGGAGCATATTTCATATGCTTTCCAGAACAATTTGCTGTGTTGAACAACAAGGTGAAACAACTTACTCAAACTGTAGCCAGTAAATTTAACCAAGTAAAACTTATACAGAATGTGATAAAGAATAAGCAAGACTGGGTAAATAAAGTAGGAAGGGTGTTAGCTAATAGTATGGCACAAGAGCTCTTGGAAAAAGGGGGAATTTCCGAAAAATCTGTATTATTTTTGGCTTATGGAGACAAAAACGAAGCAGTGAGTATATTATTTCAATATTACTAAAAAATTGATTTTTTTGATAAGAACTTTATACATTTTAATAGACCAAAACAAAAGTTTTATTTTGAGGTAGCACACATTAGCTTAAAGGGCAAGATAAGATGAATCTGCTGCCATAAGTTTAAAATTATTTTTACAGTAAACATTGTGTGAAACGCGCAATAGAAACTTACAAAGTGAGGTTAATCCATAAAATTTTTAATATTATCACAGAACATTAAAATAAAATTTTTAGTTCAATAAACAATCATAGTGTTTTAATTTCATTAAAGTTGAGACAATACATAGTAAAATAATTTCGTTAAAATTTAGTCAATGCCAGAAGGACCCTGATCTATGTTTATTATATTTAAAGATTGCTGATAACTAGTTTTCTATCGTTAAATGTCTGCGTATTGTAAATTATAGAAGTATGGAGTATTTAATTTGCCACATGTTGAATCGAGCAACAAAGTTAAGTGTCCAAATTTGAAAATTTGAATGACGTGTTCCGTGGGACTAGAAACCTCAAATTATTTTAGTGATGACAACTTTAGCATGGTTCTGATTAATATTCATGAAGCCTTTTTTTTGAGTTTTCATTGGTTTATAAAAAGAATTATTTGCTAATATATGTATATATATATATATATATATATATATATATATATATATATATATATATATATATATATATATATTATATCAAATTATTCTCGACCTTACTGTGTTAAATATTATTTGTAGTCTCAGCAATTGGTCTCAAGACCAATTGCTGAGACTACAAATAATATATATATATATATATATATATATATATATATATATATTGTTATAAACCATTATATGCATTTATATATTACTTGATTCTTCCACAGAACTATTTTTTCAGAACCTGCTAAATTTGTTAGACGACCTGCCCAATAAAAACATTAAAATTCTATACGGTGACCTGAACATTAATTACGCTGTTGCTTGTGCTACCCAATTATCCTTGGTCAATATATTCGAATCGTATGATTTCACAATACACGTTAATTCTCCTACAAGAATTACTAAAACACATCTACCGTAATTGATTGTATTGTCTCAGATTTCTCACCCCTGTTCGTTCTACAATGATTAATGCAGGACAATCTGATCATGAAGCAGTACATACCCATAACGCTCTTAACAAATCATCCTCGAAAACCCAACGTTTAGGTAGGATGTTTTTTGCTCATAACTTTCGTAAATTCCAAAATGTGTGCTTGATTTGTCGGTAGCACTTTCCCCCTCGGGACGTGGACAGTATTTTCAGTAATTTTTTTAGATAGGCTTGTTTGTATTTTCATTAAGGCATTTCCTTTAATTACAATTAAGTCCAAACATCACAAACCCTGCATTATTAAAGGTATCCGCATATTAGCCATTAATATGCGTTCACACCTGTACATCAAGAAATTTACTACCAGTGTCTTTGTCACTAAATATATCTTCAAGTACAGAGGAACCTATCTAAAACTTATCAAAATAGCTTGGTCCAAATATTTTCTCTTCCGAGCCCTGAAAATCTAAATGAATACTTACGTTAATGTGAGTTAAAATATAGTATCAAAAATTTTGCCACAATAAGAATCTGTTTCCTATCTCCCCGATTCAAAAAAGGTCTCGAATTCATTCTTTATAAGACACGTTGATAAATCTGAACTGATCTAAACAATAAGTAGTATCAAAATGAAATCTTCCTGTAGTACTGATGGACTATCCATAAAAATTTTCTTAAATCTCCTGTGGGGGAACGTTTGTCCACTGTCAACATAAACTTTAGGGTCCGCAATGATTATCAAATTGCGGAAAACGAATGTGAATCATCCGATAACCTTCAGATGAAGAAAGCAGCTGTATCTCACGATGTGCTGTTCAAACTATATTTGGTGGAACTGAAAAAGGTGGGGAATTAAATTCAATTATAAAATCAAATGAATTAACTATAATACAGTGAATAAACAAACACTACATGAGCTATGCAGAAGAAATAAATTTGGCTATTATAAAACAGGTAATTTAAAACAAACAATTAAGATTAAATAAACAACTTAAACGTTATATTCAGATCAACTCAAAATCCATACGTAACGCCAAGTGCGTCCGTAGGGTGGCCGATTAGCCACTCCCAAACTGAATGAAAATTCAATACTAAACAATTCCTACTAATATGGTGAACTCAAACCAAGACAATATTGAGTACGATCTAAAGAACGTGTCAGTGAAAACATCTAAAAATAAAATAGTAATGTAATAGTAATAAATGCGCTAACTGCTGAGTTTAACGTGTCCGAAATAGAGCTCGTAAACAAAAATGTCAAAGAAAGAGAGAAAATGCACTTACAGTTCCGATGTATGTGTTCCGATTATTACCTATGTGGCCCTGGAATAGAACCTCGATGTATCCTGCCTTGCTTGACAAAGGCCTAGACGTGGAGACGATGATGTTTTGCTAGTTCTTATGTTAATCAGGTAATCCACTTGTTACATGTAAAGAAACGCTCCCACAAAGAGGACAAACTATATACTCATACTCAACTTATTTAGTATTACAATAATTGCTATGTTCCAAAACGACAATGAACACCATTTTTACATCGTAAGATGCCGATTCTACTGCACAAAATTATAGTCTTTATACACTTCAACGAATGTTAGATTTCTACCAACGATTATACTTCTTTGATTTGAACTATACTACTAATATATAACTTGATTACTTTGAATATACGATAACGATTTGAACTTCTATATAAGGGGTATTGTCTATTCGCTTAGCTAGGGCATATTTTGACAGACTCATTGTCGGAAACCTACAACACAACAATTCCTACTTCTCAGTATTAATAGCTCAAGTGTACTACTATTGCAGACTTCTATCTTTGAAAAAAAAGAAGAATTATTCTAAATAGTGGAAGTGTATACTAAACCCATCAAATTTTCCCTGTATATTTAAAATATAATATTTGAATTGTTACAATTTAAAATATTGTAGTAAATATTTGTATTATTCGCGTTGTTTATTTAATTTAATATTGTTTTATTATATTTGTTTAATTCTTTTGTTAGTTCTATTCAGTTAATTAATTAGTTATATTTTAAATTTTATTATTATGGATAGTCAAAGTTTTCCATTTGTTCCATCAGCTAATGTGTTGGTAAGTTTTTCTTAATAAACATGATAAAATGTTTTTTAAAAGTTAATATTTTTAGATTAGTTGTTTCTAATTTAATATAAACTTGTTTATACCTACATGAAGAATGGAGGTTCTTGTTGTTTGTTTGGGTTTATATGACTGCAGACTGCGCCCAAGACACTGAATTCATTAACCATATGTGGAAGATTTTAACATCCTCAAATGCTAATGAGCAAAAATTACTATTGAACCACGAATTTGCCTAGTCAAATTACTAATATTTGCTTTTAGCATATGGAAGTACACTTATTTTGTAAGATAATAAAACAACAGTTTATGTTAATGCTATCCAATGAACTGTTAATCTTTAATCATTGATTCCATCCTAGTCACAACATAAGGAACTTGCTGTGTCTTATTTAACCTCACTTTGACTTTTTAATTTTGTAGAATTTACTCCCACTTTTTTTATTTTGTACAATAAATAATTTTATTATTTGTTATCAATACACAATACGGTGTAAATAAATAAATATTGATTGTCGGCAAAGTTCTATTTTATTTACTTTTGTTTACATTAATATTGACTAAGAGCACGTATGTTTGGTTGTATAGTAATTTCCAGCCACTTCGAGTCTGTCAAAAAGTAACTAACTTCGCAAAAAAATAATTACTAAAATCACTAGACAGTTCGGACTGGGAATAGCGAACCGGGTATATGAATTTCTATATAAAAATTGACGCCGAATACAAAACGTCAAGATGACAATGTCATTTTTTTAAATATTTTTGGATGACGGACATTATTCAGCAGCGTGCCAATAACACTTTGATAAGGAAAACAAGGTATGTTGCGTACTTTCGCAACATCTCCCAAAAAATGTGTTGGAAGTCCTGGTCACACTAATTAATGATTCCTATGAAAAAGGTATATTTCCTAAGTGCCTCAAGACAGCCATTATTATTCCTCTTCACAAGAGTGGTGAAAAATCGAATGTCTGCAACTATAGACTTATTGCCTTACTACCTGTCCTATCCAAAATTATTGAGAGACTTATAAAAGGCCCGACTTATGTCCTTCCTTGTTGAAAACAACATTTTATCATAAAGTCAGTTTGGCTTTTTATTTAATAAATGTACCAGGGATGCTATGCTTTCTGTACTACATGAGTTCTATCAAGCACTAAATAATAATCTTTATACTGCCACTGTTTTTTGTGACTATGCCAAAGCTTTTGATTATGCAAATCACGACATTTTGATAAAAAAACTAAATTTCTACGGAATTGGAGGTATTTCTTTGAATTCGTTCCAATCTACTTGAGGAATAGGAAACAACTAGTTAGAGCAAATGATAATGACTCTAGTCACAAAAGCATTGGATGTGGAGTACCACAAGGTTCATTATTGGATCCTTTACTTTTCCTTATCTTTATAAATCACATCACTAACTCAAAAATCGATGGAAGAATTTTTATTTTTGCAGCTGATACCAGTATCACCTGGAGGAACTCTAATATTGCAACTCTTCATGCAACTATACTTCTGATCTAGTTAAAATAAAAATCTGGTCCGACTCTAATTTACTCTCTTGTAATATGGATAAGATAGTAGCATTATCCTATAAAGGAACTCTTCAACCCTTTCTTCTTAATAACAGCCAGATTAGTATCGAAATCAATTTAGCATCTTCCAAAATAACATATTTTTCTTTGTATAGTATTTAATTTAGTGAGATATGAATTTGAAATATTTTTATCATTCTAGTTTATTGATTAGGCAAGCCATTGTAAAAATGACAATTTTCTACACTCCTTTGCAACTTAAATCAGCAACTTTTTTCGTTAAGTTCCGTAAAATGACAAATCCTATCTATCTGAAAGGCCATATTATCCTGAGGAAGAGTGTAATATGTCAGGAAAATATAAGGGACTCCAATCCAGAATAAAAGAACATGTTTTTTCTGTCCATTTTATAGCATGCGCAAATCATTCATTAAATTTAATTGGAAACGCTGCTACCGAAATTTGCGTGGAAATGATCACTTTTTCAATATCGTTCATTTTACATCATTTTTCCTAAAAGCAAATAATGAAGCCTAATAAACATCTTTATCGTATGAAGTGCTCTTTGATTATCTTGATTATTTTATAATAGGTTTGTTCGTAGTAGCGATTACAAACGGTTTGTGATTTGAAATACAGTGCGCATGTTCAGGTGGAAACTGTTTGGAATTAGTTTGTGATTTTGTGCTCTACGAACACCTAAAATTTGATATTTTGCATTTGACATTGTCGTTTGTCAAATCTCGAAATCTCCTTTATGATCTCCTTTTCTTATTTCTTGGAATTCGATCTAATTAGTTTGTTAAATCTTTTTATTCACTTTTTTGCATTTATTGTTTAATATTATTAGTCGTTTATTTGATTTTTTTCTTTGATTAGTTTGATTAGTTTTCTTAGTATATTTTATTTTTAAGTTATACCACAGTTATACCTATTTTAATTAAAATTTCTACAACTGAATAACCTTAAGATGGAAGGTAAATGATTTTGTTTTTATTACTATTATCTATACTATATTTATTTAAAATTTTTAGAATCCTTACAAGAGTATTTGGCTTTCCAAGAAGGTGACCAGCCATCGGCCAACGCTGAAACAAGTTTTGTATGGACGAGAGGAAACACATTGCTTTTAATCGATCTATACAAAAACTATAGAAAAAATGTGGGAACTTTCGCAATAAAGAATTTTAAAAAGTTGTGGGAATTTATATCTTTGGAGTTAAAAATGAATAATGTTAATTGCACCCCAGCAAATTGCGAAAACCGTTGGAGGGTTTTAGAAAGAAACTTTAAAAAATATATAGACAACGCCAAAAAAACAGGGAGAGGGAGATAAGATTTTGAATTTGCTGAAGAAATGGGACAAATACTCGGCACAAAAAAAAAATTGTACCTGAATGTGTACTTAGCACAAGTTCAATTGTACACTTAGAAGACAACATTTCTACACCTGTTTCTGAAAATGTAGCATCAAATGACCACAACTATGTAATAAGTATCAACATCTCGTGATGTAAGGGTAACACCACAAAAAACTGATGCTACTGCTTTTCAAATATCAACCAAAAAAAGTTTTTTAAGAACCAGCAAACGACTAGATGTATTAGACAGATAGAGAGGAGAAAAAAAGCAATACAATGATTCTAGATTGGCTCTAGAGAAAGAGAAGTTTGAAGCCCATTTAAAATTAGAAAAAGAAAAGTTAGAAGAGAGAAAATAAAGAAATAAATTATTAAAACAACAACATAAAGAAAATATAGAAGAAAAAAGACAGAGAAATAAATTAATAAAAGAACAAAATGATTTGTTAAAAAAAACTACAGAAATATTAGAAAATTTTTTAGACAAATTTGATTTAATTTGATTTGTTTTTTTTTTAACATTTATACATTAGCATAACAACTTGAACACAATTAAATTTGAGTTAACTCTTGTACTCAGCTTACAAACATGTAGGTCACATAATACAATACTGAGTATTGTATTATATGAAGTACATCTTTTTAAGCAGAGTTCAAAGGATAACTCAAATTTGATAATTTTTTAGTTGTGACACTCTTAATATTGTAGTATTGTTTTGAATTTTTTAAATTTTGTAAAGTTAAAATAAATCCTTATTATGTGAATAACTGTTTTAATGGAATAATATGACATGTATACTAAAAATTTAATTTTTTAAGTACAATCGCTGTGGAACATTGTTTATTGTAATGATGTTTATTATGTCTACCATGTGAATATAAAAAAACTTGATTCTATGTTGACCCAAAAATATGTAACAAAGAACAAGAGTTATTAATTCTTGAAAAAAGGCTGTTGTTTGGTTGTCCTGTAGATTTTCATCATTTTCTAGTTCATTTTCAATATTGTCAGGTATATTTTCAAAATTTTCAGGCAGTGTGTCTTCTAGAGCTATATTATGAAGAACACAACATGCCCTTATGAAATGTACACAATCAGAAATTTTTCTTAATTTTAAATGGTACAACTGCCTAAATTTTTGTTTTAGTATACCAAAACAATGTTCGATAACGTATCTGTTTTGGGACAATTTAACATTAAAATTATTTTGCATCCTTCCTAAGTTTCCAAAATCTTTATATGGTGTAAGAAGATGGTTTAAGCATGAGTAACCACTGTCTCCTAATAAATAGTATTCACCACAATTTTCTGCTAAACTTTCACTTAAAGGTGATGCTCTGAAGACACGGCTATCATGAACTGACCCAGGGTAACCTATGAATACATCCCTTATTTTTCTTTTGTGATCACACACTACTTGTAGCTAAAAAAAGTTTCAATAGTTGTATATTTTATACATTATGATACACATAGTGGTTATAATTAAAGATAAACAAATCGATACCTTAAAGCTCAGATATACTGCTTATGTTCATTTTGGGAATTTTGTTGCTACTATACAAAGACTAGACTATAGACAATAAACGTTGATAAACTTGACTTTTTTAATCTATTTAGGATAGTATAATGCATCTAAATTAAAAAGGTACTGTAGTTTGAAAAACTTCTCAAATGGTGTATGATGGACATAGCATATCTATGTATCAAGTTATCGAAATGTTTATAAAACCAAATAGAACTTACATGAATTGAGTGAAAATCTTTCCTGTTAAGGTATGAATCAGGGTCTTCTGATGGCTTATCTATTTTAATATGTGAACCATCAATTGCTCCTGGAAAACCATTTTGTCTAAAACATCTTTCAATGTTTATTCTTTCCTGAAAATTTGGCCATTGGATTATTTCAGGAGCCAAATTTGATAAAAAATAAGTCATTTGGACTATAATTTTCCTTAATGAACTTAGAGATAGGTTAAACCTATCAGAAACATCTCTATATGAGGCAGCCTCATGCCCTGCAAACCACAGAAAAACCAATACATACTGCAGAGCTGTGATTTTTCCAAATTCGCCCATTTGATGGGAGAAATGTGGTGAGTTTTTAAATTTTTCTGCTAAGGCATTTGCAACTTGTTTGCTCACTCGAAAATGTTCAAAAAACTCTTGGTTACTGTATGATGGTACAGTATTTTCAACATAATTTTCATTTTTTGTTTTAGGTACAAAAATATTGTCCTCGCTATCGCTTGAACTGGAGATATCGCTTCCTAAATATACGCTAGATGAATCACTAGATTCCATTGTTTAGTTTAGTATTTATACTACTAAATATGAAAACAAAACAAAAACACAGAAAAACAACTCACTTTACAATTCAGTTAGTCACAGAGTACACCACAACCCAACGTTTGTTTTGTGGTTATAGTATTAGACACTAGACAGAATCCATAGATTTATACAACAACAACACCTCTGTGCATGTCGCTGATTTTTAGTCCGCACAATCGTTGGGGATTTTAACAACCGTTGGAAACCGAATTCTGATTTATCACTTTGTTACTGCGAACAGCAAACTTAAAATTGCCAACCGTCAGAAGTGTTTCTACGAACGCTAACTGTTAACTGCGCGTGCGTCTGATGGTTGGCAACGGTTGCTGATCGTTCTACGAACAAACCTAATACTAATTCTTTATAAATTACAACATAAGTTGATTTTATTTTCAGTTAAATCTACTGGGGAAAATCCGCACCGAATACGTTGACCACTTGGAAAGTATTGGTGTGACTGTACGACGTAAAGGACTGCACTTTTTGTGGGTAGTTGATTTTCCCCTCTTTGAAATATCTGAAGAAGGCACACTTAAATCAGCGCATCATCCCTTTACAGCTCCACATCCAGATGATTTAAATTTGTTGAAAAGTGATCCACTCAAAGTAAGTGTCCAGAGAGATAAAAATAAATATTTTTAAGTAGAGTAATAAAATATAGAATTATGTTACAGAAAATAGGTTATTGGTGAAAAAATCAGCCTGCAATTCGAGATTGTTGTCAATGTATCAATAATTTGAGATTTGTACACTCCACATTTTAGAAAACGGTCCACCCCAAATATTTAAAATATTATTTATTGCCACAAAATAAAGCATTTATTTTTTTTGTATATTGAATTAGTATTATTTTATTTTTAACAAAATAATATTATTCTGCTAATGCAGTATAATGCGAGTCCACACACGGCAAGGAAAGTAACGAAGTGTCTTAAGAGGTTGGTATTCTATAGACAGACTGGCCTACTCAAAAACCCCGTTTAAATCCTATTGAGCATATAAGGAGCCTGATAAAAAGTCGTGCTAGACGTCGTATACCCGCTCCAACAACACCTGGAGAGCTTCAAATGGCACTCATTGAGGAATGGACCACTTTTTCCCAAAGAGATATCCAAAACCCACTAGGAAGTTAAGTTCTTGTAGCTGGATGTATACCATGTATCACAAAAGTTTTTTATTTAAAATCCTTTATAAAAGGTATATCATAAAATACCCAAACGGGCTATATCACAATTACAAAACGTTTTCGAAATCTATATTCCTTTATCAGTGTAACTGTACAGTACACAAGTAACTGTGTAACATGTTTTGAGCCACTAAAATATTTGGGTAAAAACCCGTTAAATATGTTGTTAGTTTAAATTTCTGTTACATTATATGTTCTTATAAGTTGAGATATTAAAGTTACCAGTAGAATTGGTAATATGGCAACGTACGACTCTACATGAGGTTGCTTGGTCCTGAGATAAAGTGTATACGAGGACTTGATAGAAATATCCAAAACGTTATTAAATCCATGTCAAATCGAATGAGGAGTGTCATCCAGAATCGAAGTGGCAATGCCCATTACTGAAAACGGATATCAGCTTTTTTTATCAATTGATATTAATATTGTGTGTATGCAATCAAATTAAGGTACCTGTGAGGTTAAACTAACACTTCTGCTCCTTCCACAGTGCACTGGGGGAACTCATTGGGCAGAATCTTCTTAAAGTTGCGTGGTTGATTTTACACAAAAACTGGAGTGTTTATCGTGTTGATCTATACAAGAATTAGTGTAGTCCGAAATAGCTTCGCTTCCTGTGTATGTATGTAAACTAAAATAAAAAAAAAAAAAAAAAAAAAAAAAAAAAAAAAAAAAAAAAAAAAAAAAAAAAAAAAAATTGTTATACGTGGTATACAGCCAGCTACAGGAATTTTTCCTTGTGGATTTTGTAAACTAAAATATTAGTTTACGTACATACACAGAAGACATACACACACGTTAAGTAGAAATTAAATATAAAATAATTAAAATACCTAATAAAAAAATAAGAATTTTTGTTGAGAGACGTAACAAACTGTATGTTGATTTTTTTCAATAAATTTTCTATTTCTCCGAAATTTCTTAATTTCGATTGATTTTTTATGATAATGATGAAATTTTGTGCTAAACGAATTATTGATTCAATAAAAAAAATGCTTAATTTTGTAGCAATAAATATTAATTTGGAAAATATTTTAAATATTTGGGAAGGTCCGTTTTCTATAACGCAGAGTGTACCGGGTGGTCCAATAAGCCGATCTCTCGGCTATATATCGGAAACTATTCATGTTATAACTTTAGGAAAAAAATTCCTTAGTAAAAGTGGCCAAGAGAAATCGCTGGAAATAACTTTCAAGATTCTGGATTAGCCGCTAGGGGGCGTAACCTGCGAAGAAAATTTTGAAAACCAGTTTTTTGGGAAATATGTCCAATTATACCAAGTATTAAATAAGTAAACTAGAAAGGGGCATAAATTCTGCACAAAGTTGTTCAAGTAACTATGGATTGATCCAACCGATTTTAATGAAATTAGTGTCACTAGAAAGAGTGTGGATGAATTAATTCACATCTACTATAAAATACTTGCATTTAGTTTTCATAGTCGTAGGTAGAGGGGACTTTCAAATAAAAAAAATTAAAATTTGTTTTTCTTCAAAATTTTTAATGGAAACACCTATTTATTGTAAATTATAATGGAACTGGAATAAATTCGTAACAAAATGGAGCAAACCGCATGTTAATAGCTTTTGTTGAACTCGAGATATGAATAAAAACTCATAAACATAAGTAAGTATAGTATTGACACACCCTGTATTATAAATTACATTAAAAAATAAGTCAGTAGGTATTTTAAAATTTTTTTTAGCAGAAAAATCTTAATGTTGATACCTATTTTGTAAAAAATAGTTTTTTCGAAACTAAGTAGGCTACGACAATGAATTTGACGGGGAGTTCATATTATTTATTTATTGACAGCAGTCAAAACATTGTTAAGAAGTGCTATATTATAATTCGAATTAAAGATTGCACTTTTTTCAATAGATATTAATATTGGTAATATTAGTAATTAATTATCAGTACAAATAATTCGTGATGAGTATATCAAATTGTATGATATAATTGGAGTTTATTTCGAATGTCACCAAAATGCCGCTATTACCTCACGTATATATTTTGTAAGATGTCGTGATAGGAGACATTATGGCAAAGAAGTATTTGAAAGAAAGGCAAAAAGATTAAGAGAAACTGGTAGTTTTTCTCGTTCTTGTTTTAAACGACGTAGTAGAGTTATGACCGAAGATAATTCAATCAATGTTCTTGCTTTAATTCAACAGAATCCACATAAGTCGTCCGAAATCTCTACTTCTTTGCCACAATATCTCCTGCCAGGATATCTTACAGAATATATACGTGAGGTAATAGCGCCATTTTGGTGATATTAGAAATAAACTCCAATCATATCATACAATTTGTTATACTCATCACGAATTATTAGTACTGATAATTAATTACTAATATTACCCATATTAATATCTATTGAAAAAAATGCAATTTTCAATTCGAATTATAATACATATAACACTTTTTAACAATATTTTGACTGCTGTCAATAAATAAACAATATGAACTCCCTGTCAAATTCATTATCGTAGCCTACTTAGTTTCGAAAAAACAATTTTTAATCATATGAAATAACAATGGTCAAAATAGGTATCAACATTAAGAGTTTTCTGCTATAAAAAATTTTGAAAGTACCTACTGACTTATTTTTTAATTTATTTTATAATACAGGGTGTGTCAATACTATACTTACTTATGTTTATGCGTTTTTATTCATATCTCGAGTTAGATAAAAGCTATTAACATGCGGTTTGCGCCATTTTGTTACGAATTTAATCCAGTTCCATTATAATTTACAATAAATAGGTGTTTCCATTAAAAATTTTGAAGAAAAATAAATTTAAATTTTTTCTATTCGAAAGTACCCTCTACCTACGACAATTAAAACTAAATGCAATTATTTTATAGTAGATGTAAATTAATTCATCCATACTCTTTCTAATGACACTAATTTTGTTAAAATCGGTTGATCCAAACCAAAGTTATAGGTATTTATCCACAAGTACTTTCCCACTCTCCCCCACCCTTTATTTGAAAAAAATAAAAAAAAAGTACTGGAACAATTGTGAACAGAATTTATGCCTCTTTCTAGTTTACTTATTTAACATTTGGTATAATTGGACATATTTCCCAAAAAACTGGTTTTCAAAATTTTCTTCGCAGGTTACGCCCCCTAGCGGTTAATCCAGAATCTTGAAAGTTATTTCCAGCGATTTCTCTTGGCCACTTTTACAAAGGAATTTTTTCTCCTAAAGTTATAACATGAATAGTTTCTGATATATAGCCGAGAGATCGGCTTATTGGACCACCCGGTACATTAAAAAAACGTGAATCAAAAGGAGCATCTACTACATGAGTAGGTTTAAGAGTGAGAGAGAACACATGATGAAGATGCAGCTAATTTGATCTATATTACAAGATTTCCGTTCTGAGATATTTATTAAAACGCGTCCAGACTTAGTAGTAGAGTATTGGTGTTTATTTACCTGCGATTAATAGATTTAACGCGGATTAAATCAGCGCTTTAACCGAGATTCCAGAAAAATACCGATAAAAAAGTTCGAGAACTTAGAATTATTATTACAACAGGATCCCAATTAGAGCGTTATAACTCATAACAAGTGGACAGGACAGAGTTAGAGTGAAGATATAAGAAATAGCATTGGTTAAGAACCAATATTGGCAAAATCAAAAAGAAACAAATGAATTGGATCAAGCATACTGGTAAAGAGAATAATAAAAATAGGAAAGTCAATGAAAAGAAGATGAGACAGACCAAGAAAAAAGTGGCTAGACCAAATAGAAGAATATGGAAGGGAAAGAGGACAAACCGTAGAGGAGATGAAGGAATGTGCAAAGAATAGAAAAGAGTGGAAAAAATGAGTAATTGATAAATCTGAGTCACACTTTGACACCTGAAAGGCATGAGGAACAGGAGAAGTTTTGAAGAATGACAAGCGTTCAGTTTCAATTTCAAGCTTAAAATCGTGAATTAATTTCTTGTTACTAAAATATTCTTCGATAAAAGTATCCAAAGTTCCTATCCGAGACATATCGTTTCCACAGCCTTTTCTCAATATAGGACTTTATCTAGATAAACTTTTATATACATATCGTTACTTGTCGTAGTATCTATCATCTTAACTATTTTTTAGGTAAGAGCCATAGCGTACGACTTAGTTCTCAACGGAAATGAAGTGGCGGGTGGTTCCATACGTATTCACGATCCAAACCTACAAAAAACCATCCTGGAACTGTTAAAAATAAGTCCAGATACGATGCAACATATGTTGGACATGTTAGAGTCGGGATGTCCTCCTCATGGAGGTATAGCTTTCGGATTAGACCGACTAGTCAGCATGTTGTTGAATACAACTAGTATACGGGACGTTATAGCATTTCCTAAAAATTATGAGGGAAGAGATCCCATGAGTGGAGCTCCTAGTTATATTTCAGACGATGATAAGAAGTTATACCATATAAAAACTGTAGATGAAGACAAAAATAGGTAAATAGTAAATTGTGTATTATATAAATAAAATATTGTATAATAAATGTATGTTTATAACTATTTTTAATAAATAATGTAATTTTGTTTCTGTTGTACTTTTGTTTTATGCATTAAGAAAATATATTGGCAAGAAAATAGGACTCACACCACATATTCAAAACTGTATGGTTGCCCAACAGGAAGTAAAAATCTATAGAAGTATTTAAAGGTTCTAAAAGGTATATGAGAGATAGCTGATGTCAGTGTCTGCTTAGTCACTTTAAGTAGGTAGTGCCAGAATTTGGCAACTGCCTAAATTTTTAGTGGCGTGTTCATGAAATTGTCAAAAAAGATATAAAAAAAGGCCGAGATACTTTTATCTTTTACATATACGTATCTACTATTTCTGGGGTGCCAAGAAATTGACCAAAATTCATCAAAACAGTTCCGTAAATTAATTAATAATAAAAAACTGAACTTACTACCATTAATTATTACTGCTGATGTACTTGAAGTTTGTTATTACGATTTAGTCTCTAAAGTCTAGTTACAAAATTATAAAAATAATACTATTCAAGTAATTACATTTGTTGCGTTTTGCACATACGATGATCTCAACATAACAATTGGCGTCATCCTGAAAGGGGAGAGAATGTATTATGTTCAATCTAGAACTAGCTTGTGTCCCCCTTTCGGATTGGGTATGTATATTCAAACGAAAGAAGAGAAATGAAAGCCAGCGGACTGTATAAAATTCTATTTTAAAAAGCTGTAAAATTAGACATAAATATACATAACCAAATACAACTACAACTAAAGAAGAATATACAAACTTAAATATTAGTTCATATGAAACACCAAAAAAACAACCATAACCAAAACAAAACAAAGATGTTGATGAATAGGTTTTAAGAACACATTAACAACAAAGGAATTTAAGATTTCGATTGCTATGGTTGAGTATGATTAGAAATAACGCATAAATTGATATTAGACGTTAACGAGTAAAAAATTGCACACACATAATAATATACTTAATCCGTGTTAAAATGAACAAATCTTGTTGATAAAAGTTACACTAAAAGCAATGAGACAACATACAGAGTGGCCCAAAAGTCTGCAAACGGCTAATTATATCGTAAATTACTAGACATAATTATACAAAATTTAAGATACGCCTATTTTGGCATACGGAGATTCCATATTTGTATTTGCAATGTTGCCAGATTTTCAGTTTCTCTTATATTACTAGTAACTTTGGTTTTTCAAATGCATTACCCTATATATTCAGTCAGTATTGGAATCTCCTATTAAATACGAGTTCAACCATATGTAACACTTATGATTTTATGTAGTCTGGAAGGTCTTAAATACATAAAACAGAAGTCTGGCAACGCCTAAATTGTTTCAATACATTTTTTAATACTAACTATTTTCAAATACATTAAAACGTAACAATTGGTAGTTTAGAATATTTTTTAACATAATAGTTACGTTATTAAGTGTTCAAAATGTGCTCCTTTTGTGAGTTGACAGCACTCTAATCGATGGTAGAATGCGTCTACCACATTTCTCCATGATTATCTAGAAATTATTCGATATTCATTGATATAATAGGAAATGCATTCCTCTATTATCCTAGAATACAATACCTGAACTTGACGCCATCGAGATGTGGCTACACAAGTGAATCCTCAGGATATCATGGACGGATCAGTTAACCAACTTGACCGTATGAAAAAGAACGAGGAAAGAAAGAAAAGTGATGTATATGATTTGAAGGCAACATCAGGCTTATTGATAAGTCTGATATTGTAAATTATATTTTGCATAATGAGTTTTCATCTATTCCATACGAAGAACAAATTGTTATTAAAAAAAGGGGCGTCCTTTGCCTAAAATGTCCCGGCTTATAAATATTACTGCGGGTAAGGGAAGTAATAGATCATTTTCAGATAATTGGTACAGCAAGTACTCATGGCTTACCGGGAGTGAAATAAAAAACAAACTTTTCTGTTGGCCTTGCATTTTATTTTCGACAAATAGGGGCAAACATCAAAATCCGTGGTGTGAATCTGGTTACGATAATTTTTAAAGGAATGATTTAGGGCTTTACATAAACATGATATTTCGAAAGATCATACTTACAGCCAGATTAAATTAGATTTATTTGGAAAACAAAATATCTATGTTTCATTAGATAATGCTTAACGTGAAAATGCTATTAAACATAACGAAATTGTAAAAAATAATCACGCAGTTTTACGTCGTTTAATTGATATTGTAATTTTTTTAAGTTGTCAGGAATTATCTTTTAGGGGACACGATGATTCGGAGCATTCGTTAAATCAAGGTAATTATAGAGAACTAATAAAAATGTTTAAGAAATACGATTTGGAATTTTCTAATTTACTTTCTGATTTGAAGACATTTAGCGGTGTATCTAAAACAATCCAGAATGAATTAATAGAATCAATTAGTTACATTTTGAGTAACGTTATCGAATCCGATATTCAAGAAACCATTTGCTTTTCACTAGAAGTAGATGAAACTACCGACATATCTTCTTCTTCTGGTAGCACTACAACCCGGGGTGGGTCTTGGCTGACTGCACAACCTGCTTCCATCTCGAACGGTCGTCCATGATGTTTAAGTCAGTGGGTAGCCCCATTGTTCTCAAATCTGACCATATATTATCTCTCCATCGCATTCGTGGACGTCCTAAGGGCCTTCTCCCTGTCGGGACTTCTTCCCAGATTAACTTGGTAAGGCGGTTATTAGGGAGCCTATGAACATGGCCAGCCCATCTTAGACGTTGGGATTTAATCTCTTGGACTACGTCGCTAGCACTATACATTTGTTTGACCTCGGCATTTGTTCTCATTATGAATGACATATGTCATTCACAATTACCAATTGTTGTTCGATACGCGTTACGTGGTAATATCTATGAGAGGTTTTTAGGTTTTACGTCTGTAAAACCTAAAAACGGCATAAGGCAGAACATATTTTTGGTGTTTTAAAGGACATATTAAAATTTTTTGATATCAAAAATAAATTGGTAGGGCAAACTTATGACGGCGCTGCAGTGATGTCTGGTGAATTAAATGGTATCCAGGCAAAAGTTAAAAGTATTGCACCGCAAGCTTTATTTACTCATTGTCATGCGCATAGAATGAATTTAGTTTTGCAAGATACATGTAAAAAAAATAAAGGATGTCGTCTTTTTTTTGCCAGTTTAAGCGGATTTGCTTCATTTTTCTCAAGCTCGCCTAAACGGACTAATGTTTTAGAACGGTTTGTTTCGAAAAAAAAAAAAAAAATGCCAACAGTTTGTCAGACACGATGGAATTATAAATCTCGGTTAGTTTTCACTGTAGCAGATTTTCGTAAACAGCTTTTGGAAGTTTTTGATTTTATTATTGAATGTGAAGATTTTGAAAGTGATGATATCTCGATCCGTGAAGCAATCGGTTTAAAAACTTTATTAAATGATTACTCTTTTAAGATGCTTTTAAATATTTTTAAGAAAGTGTTTATCAAAACGGATTTGATATTCAATGTTGTTCAAAATCAGTTAAATGACATTAAAATTCCAAAAATAGAATAACAAGACTGGTGCGAAATCTCAGAGATTTTCGTAATGATAGTAATTTCCAGTATATACGCAGTGACGTTTTGGACTCGCTTGATATTTCCGAACCCCCCCAAAAAAAAGACAAAGGCATGACACAGAAACAGATCTCGAAAAACGAGTTTATTTTGAAATTTTGGATACTATTATTATGCAAATAGATACTCGTTTTTCGAATTTTGAGAATTTGCAAATTTTTGACTTGACGATTCAAAATTTAAAAGTTACGCCAAAGAATTTCCAAGATATTTATTAGACAGGTTAATTAAAAATTATCCATCATTCTTTAATAAAATAAAATTTGAAAAATGAATGAAATGTTTTATATGCTGATCCAAATATTTTCGGAAGATGGGATAAGTTACAAGATATGTATAATTTTATATACTGCAATAAATTCATTACAACAAACTGTTACCGAAATGAATAAATTATTGTCATTAATTCTCTCATTACCACCAACGTCTGCCTCAAATGAAAGAGATTTCTCTTGTCTCAAAAGAATCAAAACTTATTGTCGTAATACCATGAAACAAGAGAGAATGTCCAGCTTGTCTCAAATGTCAATAGAAAAAATCTTTTAAAATCTCTCCAAAACTCTTAATAAATTTTACGATGACGTTATTACCCATTTTGCTACTTCCAAACAACGTAGACTAGAGTTAATTTATAAACATGTTTAGGTTCTAAATTTATAGAAAAAAAAAAACAAAAAACAAGAAAACAAAAAATCTCCTATGATGTATGAAGTCTTTATTAGACGGTATACCTATCTGAGGAGACAAAAAATATCTTGCCGACCTTGTCTCTCAAGCCACGAGCCGCCACTGTTTAGTTTATCTTTCTTGTTTGTAACATATTTTAATATATCTTTCTGATGTTTGCTTGCCCCATCTATGTATCTAGATCTAGCATCTGTGATGACAGTACAATATAGTAAACAATAAAACAGTTAACTGATTATTCGTTTATTTACTTAGGCACTTATTAAGAATTTAGCCATAAGGTAACATTGTTTTTAACAAATTTTTGATAAGATAACATAAGAAGTTTTATAAATCATAATACTGATACAACTAACTAATTTAAGTTTAAAGCATATGTTTGGTTACAAAAACTTCTGTTACAAATTTAAAGCAGCAACAAAACTTTTTTTCAAATTATTTATTTTTTTTATTTGACAGTAAAACTTTACTTACTCATTTGCAAAAGTAAAAGAGAAGTTTGCGAAAAGAAAACGTAACTTGGACTGCAAGCTTTTTTCCTGCCAAAAAATCAGTCTAAATTTACCGACAGACGCCAACCGATTTTTTGTGATCGGAAAGAAATGTTATCTGTAACTTCTTTCCATTTTTCAGTCAATTAATAATTTACTGAAAAACAATTTTTCGCTGATCACACAGAATTTAATTTATAAATGAAGGTCTCCCATGAATGTATATCTACATAAAAAACTCCCTAGACCATATTTTGCTATATGCCCCATATCTTAAACGACAATAACATTCATATAGACAATATTGGACTGGCTACATAAAAGCTCATACATGAACGTTGTACAGCATCTATGATATGCAATTAAACATTGGATTAATCGCCACAAAGATGTTCACATCAATCATAAGAAACTTAACAACTAGTTAACTTAAAATGGCTGTTGACGTGATCATTTATTATTTTGCCAGCCATGCCATTAAGCTTGTATTTCAATTTTTTTTCTCAAAAAAGTGCTGTAACATGATAAAATATGGATGACTCTGTGACAGGATTTCAATGTGTGGTTAATGATAAGAACCTTTGCTATATACACTGACAGTGAAGATCTTTTCAAAATGTAACATCATATTCAGTATACTTTTTTTGTAAATTTAGCTAGAGAGGTATGAACGCAGAAAAACGAGCATATTACCAACAAAGTCATACAAAGTTTATACCAAAACTTTTTTTCTCTGCGCCATAGTTGATAGTTTCTTTTTAATACATTTAGTTGGAAACGACAACAAAACCATAGGTTCGTGATTCTTTCTCAGAAAAAATGAAAAGGATGCAGCATTTTCTGTTTTTAGTGTCAGGTACTGAAAGTGAAGTTTTTTTTTTGTTATTTATTCTTGGATTTTGCCAAAAATGCTATTCTAATTTTTCAAATCTTAGTTGAAATTAATTGATATTCTATATTCAGATAATAGTCTGCAAAAATATAATTTGATAAAAAGTTTTGTTGACAGTTTGATTTTTTCCAGGGGTATATACTAAGAAATAAATTTAACTGGGTTGAGCACAACATTTTACATCAAGAAAGTCGTAAACAAAAAATGTTGCTATATTCATATATAAACCAAAAACTAAAAATTTTCAGAAAATAATCAGAAAGTTTGGCATTTTGCTTTTTTAGATTCGATGATTTCGAAAACTCAAAACCAAAATATATCGTTACATAGTGAATTCATGAAAGTTATATAAAGTGGATATTGTGAAGCTTTCTCTATTGATTAAGGCTCTGTCCATGATTCTAAATTAACATTGCTGTTTGTTTGTATCAGATCTGTTGTAATAGTACTACTAGCTGTCATGAATTTTAAATGAAAATCTGTTACAGCAACTATCTTTTAATACAAGACTTACATGAATAGAATGCCCACTAGGGCAGAAGATTAGATTATTATCGACAGCTTAAGCTCACATGTAGGAATGACAAAACGTACATATAGAGGTCCTGGGGAAAGAAAACATTAAAATAGCTCTAGATGGAGCACAAATGGGAAAAATAGAATTTCCTGCTTATGAAGCACAATTGTCATGAACAAGCCCGATGGTACCCAAAAAGAACTAACAAAATATGTAAATATCCTTAAACAATAATTTAATTGTAGAGAAACTATGTAACTGTTCATGAATTCACCAATTTTTACTCATTTATGAGCCAAAAGAAACGGTTTCTGTATAAACCCCAAGTTTTATAGACTCTATCCATTCAGTGTGCCAGGAAGACTCCATTTGATCTTGAATCCTTGTTTTGGTAGCCTTATGAATCTGGTCTTCTCTTTCGATATGCTTCATATTACTCGCAGCAGTCTCCAGGTAATAAGGTAAATGGTTCAACTGTAGTTCATCAGCATAAGAGGAGATTATCTGTGAAGACTTAGCCAACCAGTCCATTACCGGATTGTTCCAGTAGTCCCAAGAAATATTCTCAAAGTTGTTGGTAGTTTCGAATGAGGTGGAGTTGGTTTTTATAGAAGCTAGTAATATGCTAGTTTTCAACATATCTACCACTACTGGGGTTCTCAGTTTATTATCAAGATCAGTCTTTAAGTTAAAATCGGTCCAGTTTTCAACAATGTCATCTGTGAAAGGTACTACAGTCTCTGTTTTTTCTTCTATCTTTTTCTGGTATAAAACAGTTCCAGGTACTTTGCTTGTCATATGAACAGATCCTAGGATAGTTAGGAATCCAGCTAGATATGTTACAGCCAATATAGCACCCACAGCAACTATGCAGTTCACTATCTTTTGTATTTCTACTAATGATGATAAGGTATGGAGTTCTGTATAAGTAAAGTGGCCTCGAGCATTACCCTGTTGTATTGCTAACATATTTTCTATGTCTTTGAGCTTCTCATAAAACTTTGATTCATTTACGAAAATTTCCCAATTCTGAAACAAAAAAATCAATGTTATAAGCTAAATCATTATATCTAAACATCTTTCTACTATAAAATAGATATATACCTATTTTAATAATACTAGACACCCTTGTTTGAATGGAATAATATATCTTGACATAAGAAACAAGAGAGTTTCTACAGAAAAGGGAACTTGGTGTGCAAAACTTGGCATATATGCAAAATATACTTGTTGGTGTTTTGACAATACAAACTTGATTAAAAAGTTGAATTCAGTATGTATAACTGCCAAGAGATTTGAAAACTGATAATTTAATATTTTAACTTTCATCAAATAAAAGGCAGATATCAAGCAAAGTTTTAGTAAAAAAAAAACTGAGCTCGACATCTGCCTTTTATTTGATCAAAGTTCATTTATTCGAGCATTCAACCTTATATCAATTTAATATTTGACAATCATTCAGACTATTATTCAGAAATTGATTAATTTTTCCTCACATCTCACTACCTTAAGTTTATTAATACAAAAATATATTTTTAACCCAATAAATTTTAATTAAAGATATAATACTAAATAAAAAACATAAATTTTACAAACTATAGTAAACAAACAGGGTGTTTAATCGTGAGGAATTGCAGCATAAAAGGGATGAAAATCTGGTTTCAAGATGGATGTTAAGGATTGTAAATCAAGATACTTCCTATATTTAATTGATAGTATTTTGGTGTAAAGACTTAAGAGATTGTGAAATATAGTTGGATTAATTAATTTTTCTTTTCTTTGGGTTAGAATTTCCGATTCATCAGAAAAATTCAATTTGAATTGAATTGCTTGATTAGGTAAATACTTCAATGCACATATATTGACAACTTGTGGAGATCCACTAAGTTTGCCTGGCCTAATGCTATTATAAAATGAATGACTATCAAAATTTTTGAAATATTTGTAATCCAACTACTTCACTGTAATATGGAGAAGGGAATTTTCTGGCTTCTTTATAGATCGTTACATAATCTACTGGTACACGAACTGTTTTATTTTTTAACTTCCGTTCAATGCAGGAGTGCATTGAGTCAGTCTCCATTTGTGTGTGACTGACTTTTAAGAACTTTTATTCAATTATTACATTGTTCATAGATGCAATATGAAGAACCACATTGGCTAGTGTACAGCAACGGTTCTCTGGTATGAACAGCCATAGCTGTACAAAACAATTTTTCCTTTCCCTCAGGTAAGGGCAGGTTTGATAAAACAAAATCTGAAATTATTGTTGAAAACTCATTGGAAGTCAAACCGCCCTCAGTCTCATTCCAGAAGAAATAGAATCCTTCCTTGGTGTTTATGTTATAAATTGTAAAGTTGTGGACAGACAACTTTATTTCATAGTAGAGAGAAGATGCTTTTCATACTCTTCTTGACTCAAATTTCCTGTTTTTAAAAGACTGGCAAATATCGCAAGCATCTTTTTTGGTTTGATAAATAGAAAGATTTTGATCATCAAAAATCTGTGAAAACCTACATTGTGACAACACAGTTACATTTTGTTCTTTGTTGGTGTTTGCTAGAACATTTTCAACGTTCTAGCAAACACGAACTGCAGAACCATTCTGTTTAAGAAAATATTTGCAAGAGTTTTTTCTTCTACTCTCTGTCTCTGATTTTCGGTCTTGAGCCCTAACAGTGTTAGATTTCTGAGTCAAAAACCTCCGAAATAACTTTCTCTGGCCAATCCATTTTCCAAAACTCTTCAAAATTTTCTTTTCTATCATCTTTTGTGAGTCTTAGACACTGGATTACACTATTTTCTTTTCTGCTACACTTGCATCTTTGTTTCATTACTCTAGCAGCTTTATATTATATACATACAGTCCATGTTTTGTTTTTATTTTACCAGAATATTGCTTTTCTAATTTTCTGGCTGTTATATTTTTCCTAGTGTTCTAAGTTCGCTGATTCACCTGGTGTCATTTGTTGCATTTGGTTTTACTTGATATTGTATTCGAATTCTGATCAAAGTCATTGTCAATTTTATGTTCACATTCATTGGGCCTATACTCTTTTTTGTTATCTGATTGCTCATCACTAATAATATTATTAACATTGTCATTATTATTAATAATATCAATACAAGGTTCAGTTTGATTAGGTATACAGTAGAACCCCGTTTAACCGAACTAATGGGGGCAGAGATGTTTCGGATAATCAACTTTTTCGGTTAAGCCATGGTTATGGAGTTTGAAATATTTTCTAGCCAAATTAAACAATTTACACACGTTATTTCAATGTAAAAACCTGTATTAAATAAGTTACATGTATATACATACATGTATGTACAATACTGCAGCTGCATTTTAAAACAAAAGTGGAAACAGTATTTAGTTTAATTTAAAATAATCAAACATCGATTTTTGCGTTTTATTTGTACATCGTTTCCGAGCAGCCTTATCTTGCCATCTCTTCATAAGCAACACATCAGCGGGAGTGGCATCAGATGATTGCTCCACAAATCGAAGGGCCACCTACAGTAAAAAAATGTTAGAAAATTGGTAACACCTAAAATTAGAACATTTTAAAAAGTTTGGATGTGCTGAAAATAATCTTACCTTAAGTGCATTGAATGCGTCTTCAGCTGATACTCGGCTGAAGTCACCGTGGGTCGTCTCTGCATTAATGTCGTCTGCATCAGGCGCTGCCTGCTGCTCCGTGACCATATCCACAATTTCTTGGTCGGTAAGCTCAAGTTCAGAATCGTCTGCCTCTAACCAGTTCAAAATTTGGTCTTCTTCAATTTTTTCACAACCTGGCACTTTATTCAGTAGCTCTGAGAGATTATCGAAATCCTCGTCTTCCCATTGATCATTTGAAGTTGAAAGGCCATCGAAGAGTTTGTTCCAGGCTTTTTTTAGTGTGCTAGATTTAACCTTGTCCCACGCCTGAGCACACCAGTACACCACATCTTTCATATTCACGGTTTTCAAGCACTCTGTAAGATCCTTATTTCCGTGTTCACTTTCATGTAAGATGTGTCTCAGGAGGCATCCTCTGTAGTGGCGTTTAAAAGTCTCGATGACGCCCTGGTCCATTGGTTGGATGAGACTGGTGACGTTTGGTGGTAGAAATTGCACTTTAATGTCACCATCTTGTAAATTCCCAGGGTGACATGGGGCATTGTCTACAAGCAATATAGCTTTGAGTGGAAGCTCTTTCTCTGACAAAAATTTTTTTACTTTTGGAACAAACTGTTTGTAGAACCAATCTCCAAACAAATCTGATGTCATCCACGCACTTTTCTGTGCTCGATAAAAAACTGGCATCGCGATAGGAGCAATGTTTTTCAGAGCTCTAGGTCTCTCAGCTTTTCCTATACACATTAGAGGAAGTCTGAATGATCCGGCCGCATTTGCTGTCGTAAGAATTGATATTCTCTGTTTTTGCATTTTGTGCCCTGGTGCGGAAGTTTCTTTAACACAAGCTAACGAAGACTTCGGTAACATTTTAAAATTCAAACCGGTTTCATCGGCATTAAATATTTGGTCGTATGTATAGCCTTCAATGATTTCCTCAAATTCTGACTTGAACACGTCTACTGCATCATGATCAGCTGACATTTTCTCACCACATAAGATCAATTGTCGAATTCCGTACCGGTTCTTAAACCTATCTAGCCATCCACTGCTTGCAACAAAGTTTTTCCCATCGTCTCCTAAAAGTTGAGCTAACATCTTGGCTTTTTCTTGAAGCACTGGTCCTGATAAAGGCACACCTTTTTCTCTTTGTTGTGTGAACCACAAAAACAAAGCTTCATTGACTTTTTCAAAGTCTGAAGTTTTCATGGTTTTGCGGTTGGGGATTTTAGTTGAATGTTCAGTAAGTTTCTCTTTATTCTTCATCCAGTCACTTACAGTAGAAACACCGACATTGTATTCCGCTGCTATACATCGTAATAAAGCATCGTTTTCAACGCGCCTAACGGCTTCCAGTTTATCGGCTATGTTAATAACGACACGTTTTCTTTTACCGGACATTGTTTTGAAAACTGCCCTAAAACCACCTTATGAGAATCTGTAAAGTTTAACAAATTCAAGGTTCACACTCAACACTAAAAACAACCTAACTGTGTTAAAATAAAACACTGTAAGATTAAATTACTAAAAGCTTAAGAACTGAGGAGAATTTATACTTCCACAAACTCACTCGTTGAATACAATAGCACAACTGAAATGACAATGACGACGTTGCGATGAGTCAAACCGGGTAGGAGGGAGGAGGAGTAACTGCGGAAACACTTGCGAGCCACGCGCGGTTGAGGATCTCTCGAAGTGTGGCCACCCACAGCGCATAGTTTCGGTTTAACAGGGGCGGCGTTAATTAATTTAGCTGCTTTTTTTTTAATTTCGCATCGTTTCGCTTTTTTTTAAATTTCGCAATCGTTTCGGTTAACCCGAGTTTCGGTTGACCGAAGTTCGGTTAAACGGGGTTCTACTGTATTATATATATTCGTAATTCTCCAACTGCTCAACTGTTTTGTAGCCAATATTTAGAGTTGGGTCTTCCAATTTATGTAAGGTTGTATCCATTGCATATGAGCTGCTTATCCCATTAGGCAAATTGTTTGTTTGAAGAGATTCAGTAACTATTACATTTTCAAGATTCAGCATTAAACTCATATCATCTGAGGGCAAGGTGAATAAAAAACCATCATTGGGATATTAACAGTACACTACACCAGTAGAATCAACATTTTCATGGTCCAAATGACCTGTTATTTTTTCTGTAAGCTGTTCACTATTATTGTTTGGCTGAGTTTTAGGACTGCTTTGTTGTAGTGCCATATTTAGCAGCCTTTGACCTCTCGATGTTCTGAAAAAATACAATCCAAATTTAATACAATTGAGTTTGGTGAACCTCAATTGTACCTCCGAAATAAACTGTAGACATAGGACTTTAGGTAGGCTCCTTCATATCTATAAATTTATTTATCCACAATATTTCACTTAATTGAAATTATTTTACAAAATTTTGTGCAGTACGCCTACCTAGAATTAATTTAAAACTGTTAACTCGTTACTTAACGAGCTGACATAACCTATAAAATTTTAGCAAATCTCATATTCTCACAAACTCACTATTTTTGTATGGTACAAATTAGGCTTCAAAATTAAATTCTTACTTTTCCATAAGTTCTTTTGAACTTATGGAAATGATTGAACTTTTAAGTTCAAAAGAGCACTTAAATAACATCAAAATACAACAACAATAAACAACAACAATAAAAGAATGATCAGCCTAGATGCTTCTCATATAATAACAACATGACAATCTGGAGTTAGAAGTTGTGCTAATATGAAAACTACAGACTCGAGTTAAGAGTATTCTAACAGAATAATTTTTTCTGGAGTTCAGAGATTTGCACTTCTATAGAGAATTGATTTCTTTTGAGCTTGCTATTAAAAAGTGGTTTTCACCAAAATAGCGAGTTAAGAGGTTTGCTAATTAGGGTATCAATATACAGTTTTATTCTAATATGTATTCATACCATAGCATTTAAGAAATCCTTTTCGAGCTGAACCAATTTTTTAATAGAAACATCTCCAGATGCAGCCCATTCGTCTACAAAAACATCATCTCCTTCTCCATCATCAAATAAGAATTTACAAGAAACCATCTGAAACAAATATCTGCATAATCAAAATGATCTATTAATTATCTAACATCCTTACCAATGATACAAGAAACAAATCTGAAGGTGCAACTTTTTCCAGGTACTGTGCATTATATGTTTTCAGTCTTTCCAAATAAAGAAGGGCTAACACTAGAGAGCATGGAGCGACACAAGCATTTCTTGAAATTTGTGCAGCTTTGTAACAGTGTAGTCTCTCCAAAGATTTGCCTCTTTTTGCTTCAGAAAATATTTCGGCAGCCAGTTCTAAAAAATTTTTGATGTCATTTCTGGTAGCTAATAGGCTAATAGTTTAATTGTTTTACAAAATAAATACAAATTCGTTAAATTTAGCAACCTACTTTTTGATTTTTGTTTATATATTAAAATTATACTATAAAAAAAATCACCACCTGTTGTGTGAAAATAATTGTCTTCTAAACTATATCTATCTATGATAATACATGTGTCAGTTATAAATTCAATTAAACAAAAATTTTACACTTTCTGAAAATGTTCATGTTACTAGAAGGTAACCTATACAAGCTACAAAAACATAAAATATATTAAGATACAAATGTTGACCAATTGAGTTTTGGTGGAATGAATCAGTTAATGTAATTATTTTTTTATTTTGAATTACCTGTAACAGGTAGACTTAGGCAATCAGTTTTGGGAAGTTTTCCATAATAAAGGGTTTTCGTTATTCTTGACAAATATTTCTTTCGATCTCCAAACTAAAAAATGAGTCATGTACATGTATTATATGATTCAAAATATGGTACAATGTAATTCAATTACTTACCATGTAGGGCATATCCCCACAGTCTTTAGATATTTTAGACATGTCAAAATACTATTTTATGCCAAATGTTATCTACCGCATTTAAACTGAGCAATTCTGACTGCTACGTTTGCAAATAAATAATTTGCAAAGTGTAGTCCTTCTCTATTTAATTAAATCGCAAAATGTTATCAAATGAGACCACTACTTCTTCTGTTTTTGACAAAATGATTGTGAGCTAAATACATATAGTATATGCTTCAGCCACGATAATACGTCAATATTCAACAACAATAATTAAATTTGAAATGCTTGTATATGAAATAAAAATGAGATAGGAAATTTGATAATATATTGAAATTAATAATACAACAGAGATAATATACATAGTATTTAATTCAAAACATATTTTATAAAGTGCATAATTTATTCATTGTGACATGTGACATGGAACATCAATATCATCATGAGAGGATACCTTTTATTCTGTGTTAGAAGATCCTTATTTTAAATAAATTATAAAGTTTACTCTGAATGTTCCATCGTACAGGTGGTCAGAAATGTACTCCATTAGGAGGGGAAAGCGTTATAGTTTGGTCAATTAAATACATTTTCGTAGTTCCCTCTCATGCTATCGCTTCTTCTTTTTTAACATTTTTTCTGCAGCTTTTGAAATTAAATCTAGTAGAACACATGTAGAACAACACATTTCACTCTTTTGTTGAAATATTTCTATAATAAACTAGCGGACTCGACAGAATTCGTTCTGTCAAATAGATTTGGAATGTAGCAGTTTATTTCTTTAATTCTCTTAAACAGAACCGCTACCATGATGATAGGGCGGTGTGTGAGGGTCAGCTCGGATGACCTAAGTATCTTCGCCTCGACGAACTTTGGGCACACTTTTGGACCCACTAAAATCCCGACAATGACAAAACACAGAGATAAATAATTATTTATTATTATTACTATCAACATATATGGTTAATAACCGATGTAATAAAGAATAATAAAATAAAACGTATATAAGTATTTTCAGTAATCTCTTTATTGTAAAGCAAGTGAATCATAATTATTAACAAAAATCTATTTTATTTTTATTGTAGTACTATATGAAATACAATGTTATTTGTTTGATTACCTGGTGAAAATACAAACAACTCTGATGATTTTCCAACACGGGAACAGGCAATACACAATTGACCATGTGAGAAACATGGGTTTTCTAGAAGAATACTACAAACACCTATTGATTGCCCCTGGGGCCTATTTATGGTCATAGCAAAAGCAAGCCGCACTGGAAACTGTAGTCGTTTAAATTCAAATGGTATATCAGTCGGAATCATTGGGATGCGTGGTATCAAAACGTCTTCTCCTTTATACTTTCCTTTCGGTAAAGTTGCTTCGATCACGTTGTTCAATAATTTTTTTATCGCTAACCGTGTGCCGTTACAAAGACGCGGTTGGTTGATATTTCTCAACATTATAAATAGCGATTCAACCTTATTAATTAAAGATTGTGAGGAGGCAATCCTGGTAAATCCAGTGCGTTTACAAATTTAGGCGGATAGTTGACTACATCATCTTGGTTAGTAGCCAAATCAACTGATTTATATATTTTCAATTCACCTGTAATTTGTTCTTGAATTTTGAAATTTAATTCATTTACATCTTTGTTTTTTGCAACCAATATAGCCCGTTCGCTCAACCAATCATGGTTCCTGTAATTTTGAGCAACATCAGGAAACACCTTCTGGACACAAACGTCGGTTTGTTTGACAGATGCAACAACGTGAAAACTGATGCAATTTATGTCGCGTTCCAAAACTAAAACAAAAGAAAGAATATTGCGAGGCTAATCAAATCTATAGCTCTTACCTTTTTTGACTTTTCAATTTGGTCGGGTTCACGATATTATCACTTTTGTGTGAACGCATTAGATCCACCAACGCGAACACGCACACACACGAACGTACACACACACACACACACACACACACACACACACACACACACACACACACACACACACACGAGCGCTTGTAATTTAATATAAACTTTATCGAATAGCAATAAAGTTCAAATTTACTCTACATTTAGAAAATATTTGTATGGGAAAAAGAAAATAGCTGTTTAAGGGTTTTCCCGGAAATTATTAGAATTTTTGATGCCATAAAAACCATCCCTACACTTCAAGGAACATTTTAAAATTAAAAAAAAAGAACTGTTTCTATGCGTTGTTGACTTATGCGCTTACCAACACATTTTGCGATTCATTTTTATGTTATAGATAATCTATTATAAATCCGTTTTCTGTGTTTTAAACTAGAGGATAAGTACGTCACAAGTTGGGCACATAATTTGCACACAATTTCCTTATTGTAGGTATGCTTTAAATATAAATTATGAATTCTTTTTCAGGCATACAATTTTTATAAAACCTGGTAATCCCTAATTAAAGAATTTAATGTGCTAGTGTAGATTAAAAACAATAAAAGTATGCTCGTTTGATCGTAAACATTTGTGTCAACGTAAAAATAAAAATGTCAAAGCAATCAGAACCATTTTGACAGATTTGTATTTTCATTTTTTGTCAACATTCCCAAATTTTTGTGAATTTTTACCATGAGAAAAGCAAACGCAGTTGTTGTTAGTACTACATCAGGTATATTTCAAAGATATGTCGTCCCATGCTGGTCATCTGTACAACTTTCGTTAGTAGCTGCGTTTTGTCTGAAGGTATACTACGAAAATGTAGCTAATAGAGATGTGCGACATTTGGCCCATATTTCATACCTCATTATGATCGCCAACGCTTGTGCCGGCCTTTTGAGATACAGTAAGTTTAATATTTTCCTTCATTGTTTGTTTTACTCCAAATATCATATTTTTCAGCTAACGACGATACCTACTGTGATCTAAGAATTCTACTCGATTACGGACAACTAGTTCTTGCTCTTCCATTAATAGCAACCGAATTTTTGCTAAAAAATGATGTCGTACCAGCAGAAGTGGCGTACATACCAACGGGAATAGCATTTGCGACGTTTCTAATGTTTATTTTTCTAGAATATAAACGACAAGATCTGACTGATTTAAATGTTATCACTAGTATGTTATGTTATATTATCGTTGGTTATGGCTATAGTGTGTATGCATTTGTAGGTGGTTTCATTTTTGGTTTAAATTACTTTCTCATTAAGAGACGGGAGGAATGTTTTTTGAAAAAAGCAAATCAGTTTAATTTGTTAATGTCCGCATTTGCCCTAATGTCGTTATTGTCTCTAGATCCTAATTGTCTTAATATATCAGACGAGTATCAGCCAGAATTTGTGAGTGTTTGATTGGATGAATTTTGTATTTAAAAATAAATTTCATCACCTCCAAGTTTTTTTTATTTCAAATCTCCCAGTATTCTAAACTCGTCGGAGCATTTGTATCGCATAAAAACAGGATAATTGAATAATATAAATACCGAGGTCGAGTAAACATTGACAATGAATTAATACAACAGGTCTAAAAGAATTAAAATTAGAAAGAAACAGGTAAATTATATCACAATAAGAGAATAAGGCAATTAAATCACAATTTAATTGTATGCATACGATTAGAGTAACAGATAGTATTTTAATGTTTATTTAAACACTAAAAACGCAATTAATTTATAACATTTATTTACTTAACCCGCGATCGGTACCGCATATGAATCTTCCGCCGTAGGTACCGTGTTAGATTTTATCTTTAATTTATGTATTTAATATATAGTCCTTTTCCATCATATTGATAGCATTATGTATGCAAATCCTCAACAGGTCAAAAAACCATAGGCGTCACCCTATACTTGTTTTGAAATAAATAAAAAAAATTAATATTTTAAGATGCCGTCAACAATTCATTATCTTTTAAAAAATATTCTGTAAAATAAGTGTCCACTAATCTCACTGTACTTTTTTTGTGCGTAAAAAACGTCGGTATATGTGCCACACGATTATTGTTAATTATACACGGGTGATTAACGAGAGAATTCAATGTTTCACGAAATAAATTAATGTAAACAGTAATTTAAAGGTGATTATTGTTTTCTATACAAGTTATCGCCTGACACAAAAAGAATACCTTCTTTGAACGATTATCTGGAATTACTGATAAGGCTTCACTAATGATAGTTTAAGTAGTTTTTATTCCACAATACAGTTTATGCCAATAATATAAATTAGAAATTGTTTACATCTTCCATTTAGTTTGTAGATGTACATTGTTCATGTCTTACCTACCTACGTTTTTGGTGTCGATATTTTGTTATTTGCATTTAAAAATGACGTCGACAACAGGTTTTATCCCGTTAAGTGTAGTTTTAAAGGTGCCTTCAGTCTAAGGGAGAAAAATATAGTATTAAATATACACGATGCACTTGTACATCAACGCCCTTTAAGTAATGTTCGTGAAATCGTTAACATATGTTCAAATATGACAGGGGTTGGAGAAGCAACAATTTATAGACTCCTAAAAGAAAGAAAAGGAGGAACTGTTTCATCTCCCAAGAAGAGTGGAGGGAGTAAACCCTTGGAAATTGAAGAAATTCATAAAAACATGATAAGACGCAGCGTCCACTCATTTTTTTTAACAAAGAATTTCCAACAAAATCCAAACATTAATTAGAGAAAACGAAGAGTTACCAATCATAAGCAACAAGAAATTATGGGTACTATTGAGAGAGATGGGATTTCGTTGGCAAAAGAATAGAAGAAAATCCGTTTTAATTGAAAAAGATTACATTGTATGTTGGAGACGAGATTATCTAAGAACTATTAAAAAGTACCGAGAAGAAGGGAAAACAATTTTTTATTTGGACGAGACTTGGCTAAATGAAGGTCATACTGTACCATATCTATGGGTTGATACAAATGTGAAAAGTTCCCGTGAGGCATTCATCGAAGGTGTATCTACTGGAATAAACAATATTCCCGTTGGAAAAGGACGCAGACCCATAATAGCCCATATTGGAAACGAATACGGTTTTGTCAATGGTGAATTATTAAGATTTGCCTCAAAAAATGAACCAAAGATTACCACGAGGAAATGACTGCTGACGTTTTTGAAGAAAATTTTGAGCAAATGTTGGATTTAATTTCAAAAAATTCTGTCATAGTCATGGATAATGCTAGTTACTATTCAAGACTAGCAGAAAAATTGCCAACAACGGCATGGAAAAAAGGAGAGATATTTGAATGGTTGGATAAACACACAATTGAGTACAAGGAGAATTCGACAAAAAAGGAATTATTAAAGAGTGAAGTCGGACGCAACAACAAAACTTTTAAATTAGAAGACTTACAACAATTATTAGAACATTCCTTGTAAGTTTAGAACTCAAAAGTAACTCCAGAAAATTGGAAAAATGCTGTTAGTCATGCTCACAAGGAAGAAAATAAAATGTGGAATTTGGATAATATGACTGATGCAATGCTGGAACCGGTAATAATTAACATTGGAGTTGAAGATTCCTTAGATTCTGAAGAAAGCAGTGAATCTGAAATGGAATTTGATTAAAATAATATTCATTTTTTTACAAATTGGCCCCTGTTACGGCCACAAATTATTTTATATATAACCAATAAAATAAACATCTTACATTTCTTGCAAATTCATTAGTACCCGTTAATCTCCATCACTCCGACACTGGCAACTTTATTTAGGGATTAGTAACCCCCAAAACTATTGTATTCTATTCTGCTTCAACCTTTATACCTGGTGGTCATACTCAATTTAAAATTGTTTTCCTATATACTTCTGTAAATTTGTTGACAAATATCTATTTTTCATTGAGTCACCCGTATCAACAGTTTAGGGATTTGTATACATAATGTGCTATCAATATGATGGAAATGGACTATAGTTATTGGAAAATTGAACGACTGGTATGATAAAATATAATTTAGTATAACTGTTGCAAATGACAACTTTATGCAATTTTTTTAACAGTTTTATTAAAGAACTGTTTACAACCAAAAAAATTAACAACAAATAGTAACAAGTTATTAATTTAGGAATCTTCTCCTCTGTTAATACAGTCAGTGCAAGTCAAAACTGTTTCTGCAATATGCTCTTTACATACGGATTTCAAAGATGTATGACATCGGTGCTGAGTAAATCTATTTTTTCTCTTCGCGCAAAAGAAACAACGAAGTTTCGCATTCGTATCATTTAGTTCGGTAGTATCAATTGGTAGTATCAATTGGAATGGCTTTATTTCCAGAATACTTCAAATTTTTTGCCTTAGTGGAATTGATAGTGATGTAATACTTGATCGACGAACAAGATTGGGCTTCGTAAGTTGCTTAGCAAGATCTGTCAGATATACTCACTTTTTGAGGTTTGTGTCTGTATTGCTGTAGTAAACACTTTGTGAATGTATGCTAGCAATATTGAGTAAAGAACAAAAAAGCAGTTAAAGGCCAACGGTTGCGCACTCTTGTAGTCGAATATTCTATCTTCATCCTGCCCACCACATCAACAGCTCCTTTTGTTAGATTATAGAATATTATGACTGAAGGTTTCATTGAATCGCCACTTTCTGGATCAATTTCATCATGTAAACGTTAACAGCATTTCTATTAGGTTTTGGTACATATGGTATCGTACGCCATCACAAAAAACAACAAAGTCCAAATTTAGTCTAGCTCACAAAAAATTATAATTCAAAATTCGTAACTACGTATAATCAGTACATCCCGACACTGACAACTTTCATAGCGCACAGTGCACTGAACAGATTTTTATTATAGTACAATGAACACAATACTGTTACGAACATGCATTCAGCGTGTCCGCTGTAGCGGTTGCATCTCGAAAGCGAGTCGAAGTTTTGTAGACGTATCGAGTGCGAGAGAGAACAATTCGTCACGTAAGTAAATTAGAGGTGGGAATGTTCTAGAACATAGTAACTTTGGTGTATATATATGTAACGATGTTAGGAGTAAGTTTTAGTTGAGCAGTACCGAACTGTAAAGTTATAAATAAATATATAAATTCGAACCGCTCGTTTTATTTAATCTCGTTACAATACAATGAATGTGTATTCACAAATACAAATTAAGCATGGGAGTGGCTAGACAAAACGTTGAGTAGGGCATAGCTGGCAAGAGATAAATATACGAGGCGCGAAAAAAAGTAATACAAAAAAGTTAAAAATGTTAGACAAATTCTAACAGCGGTACTGATCGCGGTTTAACAATACAAATTTATTTTATCGAGTCGGTTTTTTTATTAGTCAATATTGGATTACTCTTTTTTGATTACTCTATCACTCGTTAAAATTATCGGTGAGTGATCAGAGTTCATGTTCCAGCCGTCATTGATATTAATATAGTAAGCTGGTATATTTTTGTAAATAAAGAAATATATATTAGGTCTGGAATTTTGTTCCTATCAGTAGGCCAGTATGTTGGTCTACCAGTAGATATTACTTCACCCTTTTGTTCTTTAACAGCTGACAATAGTTATTTGTCTTCAGTTGTAGTTAGTTTAGAACCCCAGTGGGTATTCTTTGCAATAAAGTCGCCACCGATGATATATATTTTTCCTAAAGTGTTCATAAAATCTTTAAATTGTTTTCTTTTAATGGATTTTCTAGGAGGACAATATATTGAACTTATTTACGGTATGATGCCAAGATGTTATCTTTAATTATGATAGCGCATCCTCCTTTAACTGCATTATCTGGGTGTACAGTAGACTATATTCTATACCTCCTAAATTTTATATATCGTTGGTCTAGCGCACAGAGGTGCTAAGTGAAAAATAGCCAATTCGAGTAGTTTTCTCCACAATTAACACATTTTGGTTTATATTCCGGTAGTTTTGGCAATCTTTAGTAAGGTGTTTACCAATACATTTTACACATATTAACTCCTTCTTACAGTATTTCTACGTGTGTCCGTAAGCCTGGCATCTTTTACATTGCGGAACTAATCTGGAACTTCTTGATGGCTCGATTTCAACTCTCGTACTAAGTATGTCTGCATGTTATGCCGTAAATTTTATTTATATCTTCATCCTGTCTAAATCTTAAGATAAAAATATCTAGTTGTTTTTTAGTTTACCATTTAAATTTCCTGTCAGCTTTAATGGCTTTATATTGTCATTTTTTTATGTCTCTTACTATTTCCTCTGGTGGCCATGTGTGATATAATTTCTTAAGAACAACTCTAATTGGCCTCTCAAAATAAACTTTGAACACAAAATTAATCTTGCTGTGCCATTGAGAAACAGGAGGCAATTTGATGACGAATTAGAAGTTTTTATAAATAATATCCAACAGGTAGCTTGGGAAAATACTTCCACAATAACTTCTAGAACAAAACGAAACAACTATCCAAAAGAAATCAGAGAACTCATAGTAGAAAAAAGGAAGTTAAGAAACTGGTTTAAGTAATGCTACATCAAAACTAAAAAGGGAGATACAGAATATAAAAATTAAACAATTAATTCTTTTTAAGTAATTTAACAGCTGAGTAGAACACAGATTATTCGTTATGGAAGACAACAAAAAGAATGAAGAGACCAATTATTCATTATTTTCCTATCAAGTTGGAAAACGGCAACTGGGCTAGAAATAACGAACAGAAAGCAGAACGATTTGTCGATTATTTAGAAAGCACGTTCAAACCCAACGACAATGATGCTGAAGAACTGGAGATGGGAAGAACCATTCCAAACCAAAAAGAATATTGACATCATTTAGAGAAGTATCAATAGAGATAAAAGAGAATATAAATCCTAAGAAAGCTCCATCTCATAACAGGAGAACTATTAAAAAATCTACCACGAAAAGCTATAGTTAAGCTGAAACACCTAATAAATGCTGCTTTTAGATTGAGATATAAATGCGAGATTTTTGCCATATTTTACGATTCTCATGAAATCAAAAAATGTATCATTTTCATTGCCATTCACTATGGAATTTCCATTATTAGAACCTCATCTTCAAAACGCACTACGTAACACTTCTGTTTGTTTCAATTTAAAAAATCAATTAGTGCCTTTTATTTCATTACTGGATTACCGTCGAAGGCCGAGTTGGTAAACCAAAAAAGAAGATGACTCTGGTAATTTTTGTGATTGTTTTAGGGACGTTACAGGGTATGAATCCAAGGTTAGTAGATATTTAAGTTAGTAGATACGTAAATATCTACTAACCTTGGTATGAATCTGTCTTTTGAGTTTACTACTCCTAGTTTAAAAACAGATGAAACAAAAAAAAAAACAGAAAAAAAACAAAAACACTCCCCAAAAAATTCCCAAATCCTCTGCACAGAATTTATTCTGTGTCTGGATGAAAATATTTTAAAATTACTCAAAATATGTATACAAATTGCCTACATTTTACACTAGAGCATTTTATTTTGGTGTACTGTGATACAGGATATGATATGTCAAGAACGTCACGCCAGTCGTTTTATAGAATTTTTTGAGAACAAGGAAATGTCATTTCAGTCAGTCAATTTGTCATAACTGTGGTTTTGTTGGACTTTATTAATCTACTTTAAAAAAATGTTCTATAAAAAATACAACTTGTAGTAGCATACTTTTTAAAAGAACTTAGTGTATTCGGGATGTATATAATCGTATTTTAAACAAACCTACCGTGTAGGTTCCTTTGTTTTAGTTAATGAGAACAAGTGGTGTTGTATTGAGTGAACAAGTGAAAATATTGAGTATAATTAAATATTCACATACATCTGGTTTTTGTTTTTACAACTAGAATACATATCTTATTCTTTACGTTAATAATAAAGTTTAACAATGTGGCAAACACAGGCAGTCCATATTACTACAAACAATAAAGAAAATCACTTTCAAAAGACTGAAGACAAGTTAACTCTTGGAATGACTTCTGCTATATCTACAGCAGAGCCGAAACCAGTCGATTTAGTGAAAACAAGGGAGTTAATAGAGGCTCTGAAACCTTTTGATGTATTTGAAAGTGAACAAGAATTAAACAAAAGGATGCACATTTTAGGAAAACTATTTAGTTTAGTGAAACAATGGATAAAGGAAGTTTCTCTATCGAAAAACATGCCAGAAAGTGTTGCTGAGCAAGTTGGAGGTAAAGTTTATACATTCGGAAGTTACAGATTAGGGGTAAGTTATTTTGTTAATTAAGTATATAATTTAATGAACATTGTGTTTGACTCAATGTCTGAATGCATGTTTTACATGCAATTATTATTTTATGAAATTATTTAATGGACCCAAATCATTAACATACAAATGTTTAACAATGGTATCATTACTGATATTTTGCATTCATTATTATATATTTTTACTTTTATAGAATTATTAAATTGTTTTTAATTTGTTTTGTAACCAATTTTAGGTTCATAATAAGGGGGCTGATATTGATGCACTTTGTGTAGCTCCCAGGCATATTTTTAGGTCTGATTTCTTTTCATCATTTTATGAACTTCTTAAGCAACAGCCAGAAGTTACTGATCTCAGGGTAAGTGATTATGTACATCATTTCAGCTTGAAAGTTTAGGATTCATAAGATGATAGATATAATTTTAATACCTTTATAGTGTTGTTAGCTGCTGCAATAGATAACACCATAAACTTTTGGTTATAATGGGTCTTCCTGTCCACATATTTCAACATTCATTTCAGCCTCATTTTTTAACATATCACACCTCTGCTAAAAAAGAGTCACAACTCAAAAAACATTGTTTTGAGAAAATTTATGTTAAAGATTTGTCAGTTCTATTACTAAATGCAAGCTGATATGTTCTTTTATTGTAAACTTGAATATATTAGCTCAGTGTTATTTGTGCCTTATTTTTCTCAGACAATTCAATTGTTGTAGTTCATAGTGAAAAATAGAAATATGCCGATATTGTGACACTTTTTTAGAACAAGATATTATCATCTTAAAAATCTCTGTAGAGTATAATAAAACAAACACAAATAAAAACAAAAAAAATTGTATTTATTATTACAAAGAGTTATAGAATGCTGAATAACTGCAGCTGAATGAACTGGGAATATGATTATTCTTTACTAAATACAAGAAATATTTTTTCTTATTCTCTTAATGCTAAGCACATTTATGTAGGTTGTAGGCCTGTTTTAAGGTACAGTAAAACCTCGATATAAAGGACTACTTGGGGGAACAGGGTGTCAGTTAAAGCCGAAAGTCTGTTATATAAAAATATGTTTAAAATAAATCAAAACACTTTTTTTAATATATCAATACATTTTTGGCAAAGTAACGTAAGTCACCAAAAACGATTTGTAGAAAAAACATGTTTTTAATTCAACCTCATTAAGCTTATTTAAATATATATATATATATATATATATATATATATATATATATATATATATATATATATATATATATATACACACACTCAAAAATGTTTTGCATATTGCAATATTTTCAAAATTATCCACCAAATCTGGTGAAATCTATTTTTTTTGTAACAAAATACTTTATTATATATAAAATTGTTTGTTTTGAAAAAGAAACAATAAACAAAATTTAAAGAATTAACAGTTATTCTTATAATAAGAATAACTTATAATATAAGAAATTATTATTATTATTTATATGTATTATAAATAAGTATATTTTTTTAAATTTGTACAGATATAGAAACTAATACTTAATATGCCGTATTTCCACCTCTTGCATCAATGTAAGACTAAATGCGATGTCCCATGCTTCTAATAAGTGTATTAACGTAGTTCTGATCCATGGTGCCCCATTCTTCAATCGCTGCTATTCTAAGGTCTTGTAGTGTCCTTGGGAGTGGCTGCCGGGACTGAATTTTTCTTTTGAACATATCCCATCCGTGCTCAATGGGATTGAGGTCAGATGAGCAAGGTGGCCATTGTAATCTAACGATATCTTCTGTCTCTAAAAAATCTGCTACATGTCTCGTACAATGGGGAGGCGCATTGTCGTCCATAAAAATAAATTCTGGACCAACAGCTCCTCGCCACAAGCGTACAACAGAACTAAGAATGGTAGTAATATAAATTTGTCCATTCATGTTACCAACAATAGGAATTAAAGGAGTTTTATTATTTAGCATGATGCCGCCCCAAAACATTATGGAGCCACCTTGATATGGGACTCTTTGGACAGCATGCTTAAGTCTATCCTGTCGATTTGGGTTGCTCCAAATCCTAATTCGGCGATTATCCGACAAAAGGCTAATTTTGGTTTCATCAGAAAATAAGATGTTTCCTCATCTGTTGTCATGCCATTGTAAATGTTCATTGACCCATTCCAGTCGAGTCCTTTTCTGCTCTAATGTAAGCTTTGGTACAAACAATGGTCTTCTTGTAAATAAATTCGCCGAATGTAACCTGTTTCTAATAGCCTGATCGCAAATTACAATATTATGAGCTTGCTGGAGCTCTCTTCTAATAGCTGGGGCAGTCATAGAGGGGTTTCTCCGGGCAGTTAACGTTAAAAAGCGTTCTTGGACATTGGTAGTAATTCTGGGTCTTCCGCTTTTTGGACGATCGCTAACAGAATTCGTCTCTCGATATTTTTTCACAATCCGAGACACATCACTCTGATTAACTCCAACCCGGACAGCAACGTCGACTTGTGTGTGGCCTTCCTCAATCAAAGTAACGATTCTAGCTCTGTTAAACTCAGATATCACTTGTCTATTCATATTGTTTACTACAAAGTGAATAAAACGCAAACCAATTTTTACAAATATCAATTTTCGAAAACTGATGAACACAAAATGAATACTAAGAATCTCTGCGACGATTAAGAAACAAAAAACAAGCAGTAAAATACATTATTTTAGTAGACAAAAAAAATCAGTGCAAAAAATTTCAAATTAGATACGTGCAGTGGCGTTACAGATAATATGCAAAACATTTTTGAGTGTATATATATATATATATATATATATATATATATATATAATACAAAATACAAACAAAATTCTATTTACTTGTCTTTGGACATTTGTTGTAAAATGACGTTGTTGTGGATATAGATGCGCTTACTGTGGGTAATCATGTTTTAAAAAAGTAATCAAGTTTCATTTGCAATTTAGATGTTTGCTGTTTTTTTTTATGATCAACTCTCTAAAATTACGGAACTTCCATCCTCACTTTTTAGGTTCATAACTTCATCTGTTATTTCACTTTCAGTCAGGATGTTATATCCAGGGTTACCTTCTTTAGATCTACTACTAGCCATTGTAAAACATCTTCCTCAGCTATATGATCTCCTGCATTATTATTTATTGTCCTATTGTGATCATTAAATTCTAAATTTCCTTCTAAATCTATGCATCTTGGCTATCAAACATGTTCTTCCAACCATGTTTGCTTTTTCACCTCCTCCCATGCTGCAAAAAAATTAAAAATTGTTGATTTTAAATTGTAAGACCTAAGTTTTGCAAGCTACTCTGTCTTCTTGTATATTCTGCATTATCTCCATCATGCAATACAACCATTACTTCATCTAAAAACTCTGTGATGCATGAGTTGAATAAGTGATGAGTTTTGGTGTCTGCTAGTTGAGTATCTGGTACTTCAGGTCCTGATGCTTGTAAGTTTGGTGTTAAAGTGTCTGCATCTTTAACATCTGGTACGTGAATGCTTGCTGCTGGAGTATTTACTACTTGAGAGCCCACAAGTAGAGTGGCTGCTACCTGGCTTACATTGTTTGAATTTGCCAAGAAACCATTGCAACCTGGACTATCACTACTGTTTGCGCTAGAGCTATCACTTGATGTAGAAGAGGAGGATGAACTACAGCTACTAGATCTGATTCATAGTTTGGATCTTTTATGGAATCATCATCATTATTGATTACAAAGTTCAAGATTTGGAGGTCATCTTTCAGTTTTGGTGAAAGGTCAACCCGTAATAAGGATGTACCATGCTTATTATTATTGTTATCGGTAGCTATAACATAGTTTGCATTATCATAAGTAACATGTTCAGCATTTTCCTCTTTTAAAAGATGTCTTTCTGAGATTTCTGAAAAAGAAGAAACATTATTATCACAAAAATAAAAACTTTCGTTATTCAGACACATTATTTTTTTAATATTCAATATCAGATTGCCCGAGTTTCGCTCTTGATCTGGAGCATAACACTCCGATTTTATTTTCTTTGCAAGGGTCATAATTCTGTATGTCCTCAAACTCGATGAACTTTTCATGTTATGGAACCAGTCTGTTTGTTGCAACAAAAATAATAATAAATAAAAACTAGGAAGGATAATATACAGTCATAAACAAGAAAATAACAGTCAATACTTCTAAAAAAGCATCATAATTAAAAATAAACAGTGGATTTGAAAATCGTATGTGCCGGTTCTGCAAAACAGTCATATGCCAAAAATAGTTTGAAGAAATATACTTACATATTCAAAAAACTGGCTCAACTCAAAATGTAATACTACTCCGCACCACACAAAAGTACTTTCCTTGTTTACAACTTCGAAAAAACTGTCACAACACAAAAAGAACAGTATTTTACTTATTGCTATAAACAGATATAACTATAAGCACTACGTGTAGACTATTATAAAGTCCAAGGTGGCACTGTAGCGGAATGCATGCTGAGCTAACCTGCAAAAAACAAAAGTGTCACATCACCATCTCGCGGTAAATAGTTCAAATATAAGAGTGACGCCTTTATGGAAGAAAGTATGACTTATTTCAATACTAGTAGCATCATTCATCTCAATAATGGCGTTTTCTGAGTTGTGACTCTTTTTTAGCGGAGGTGCGATATAATGAAGTTTGTTTAATATCTATTAAAATTTATCTAATTATGTTCATTAATTATTATAAAACAATTAGAGGCTAAATAATAAAAAATCCCTACTTTTTATCAAGTCATTCCAGAATAATTTTTTTTATTTGAATATGTGTTAAAAATTGTCAGTTTTTCTGCTTTTCAAATCTGAAAATATATTTTATCTATGAGTAATAGTTTTAAAGTTATCCTAATTGTTTATAACTTAAAAATAACAGTAATTTTGCAAAACAATTATTTTTTACTTTCTTGACCCTTCATACGGTACCCGTAGCATTACTGTACCTTAATTATTTTATGTCATATGATATTACAAAAAAGGATCTCGATGATAAAGAATTTGAATAACTTTTAAACTAATTCATGGAATGAGTTTCGAGTTGAATGTTCAGCATTGTAGATCTCCATTTGAGAGCAATCACAAAAGTTAAGTTATTTTCACTAAAGTTATAAATAATTAAAAATTTTGGTGTTTTTGATTAACAATTTAATTTAAAAATTTTAGAATACCCATTTTGAAGTTTTTTTACCTCTTAAAAGATAAAATGTTTATATGTATTTATGTAATTGCATAGAGGAGGTTTAGTTAAGGTGTGAGCTTGAATATTCACAGACATACACACACTATTGTACATTATTCCTAGGTGACTGCAAGATTATGTTGGGCAATATGATCTGTTTATGAAAAAAAAATAGACTGATTCATGACAGTGAGTATTTGTGATTCTTTTTTTGATATCCATCAACAAGAAATTGCCGGATGAGTAATTCTCTACACGTGAAAAAGTGGTTGATACATAAACAAAGTTTAAAGTACTTTCAAAAATATATTTTTGAAACAATGAATTTATTTATATATAAAAGAATGTTTCCTTTTTGACAGATTTTGTATACTAGCACCAAAATAGCTTAAGGCTATTGCATTATTCATATTGTTTTTTTTTTGTCTCATTGTATATCTAGGCAGTAGAAGAAGCGTATGTACCTGTTATAAAAATGGACTTCGATGGTATAGAAATTGATATGCTCTTTGCACAGTTATTACTTAAAGAAATTCCAGAATCGATGGATTTAAGAGATGATATGCTTCTTAAACATTTGGAACCTAAATGCGTCCGAAGTCTGAATGGTTGTCGAGTGACAGACGAGATTTTAAGACTGGTACCAAATATAGAAAATTTCAGAATGGCTCTGCGAGCTATCAAGCTTTGGGCGAAAAGTAAGTCATATGTTGATAGTTTTATATAATGATTACATAGGTCTGCAACTAAAAATCTGTTTGATTAATTTCAACTAATTTTTGTGTAATTTGATGTGCTCAAAATGAAAATGAAATCAGATAATTTTTATGATGTCAGGATTTTTCACTCATTTCACTTGAAACTCATCTAAGCTATGAAATCTCACACTTAGTGTCTTGAAACATACAGAATATTGTATTCTTTGGCTGTACATACTGCACATTGCATGAAGTACTATCATGCAAGTGCCCAACAGCTAACACAAGATATACTGTATGTATGCTGTATAATCTGTTTTATTCCTCTCCTTGTTGAGATAATAGCAACTCAGTTTAAATTGAAGTAAATCTACTACAATGACATTCTCTGTCCCTCTTTTCCAAAGGGCACTAGATGGCGCCTGATAAAATATTTAATTTGAGTTATGTGACTTATCATAATTATTTATATAATAATTTCTAACTCTTTATTATTATTTAATTTTATTTATATAATAATTTCTAACTCGTGAATGTGCAGAAATTCACAGACTATATGTAACGAATATAGTGTTAAAGCAACAAATTAATATAACAGACTTTTTGAAGAAAGTGTATTTTGTATATTTGGACTAAAACTTTGTGATCAAGACAATTGAGTTGTGGGCTCCTCATAAAGCCTGTAAAATATGTGTGGAGGATCTTCGAAACTTGTTTATGAGTAAAAAGAAAGGTTTTTGTTTTGGGGTACATATGTAATAGCGACAGAAAAGGAATCATAGTGGAACTGAGTAGTAGTATTAGGAAAAACTTATACTCAATTTTTAAAAAATTGAAACATGCTACGGCAAAGCAGAGTTAATTTTTAGCTCATCACAAACCATATAGATCAGTTAAAACCATCAGATTTTAAAATTTCGTTTTGTAGATCTATGTTATTTATTTATTTATGCAATATTTTTGATTGTAAATAATAAACTCAAAATTTTTGTAGGGCATGGAATATACAGTAACGTATTAGGTTACTTGGGTGGTGTATCCTGGGCTATGCTAGTAGCAAGAACATGCCAGTTGTACCCAAACGCAACATCCTCTACACTCGTTAATAAATTCTTCCTTATATTTTCGAAATGGCAATGGCCTCAACCAGTTTTACTAAAACAACCTTCTAACGTCAACTTAGGATTTCTGGTGTGGGACCCCAGGGTATGTATTACTATTTTCCTTATAAATTCATTGTATGTCACCTATTAGTCGTTTAATCCAGCATTATTATCGCACAGCTTCGCCGGATTGCCAGGAATTATTTATTTCCAATTATGTAATTCTTTTTTAAGTGATGTAAACTTTATTTATTCAATAACTGGGTGATAAATAATTTCATAACAGTTATAAGTTTATAGTACAATTTTGTAAGCATTAGTAATAATTTGTAAACTGTTATTTGCTCTTCATAAATTAGATGTTCATTGGCGTGCTGCTTGCTTAGTGCTATTTAATTGAAATTGTTGTTTTTTTATTTTTGTTCTGAAAGTTCCGTCTTCTTTTGAATGTTGGATATCAACGTGACAATTTTTACTTTATTTATGGCTGCTCTAAAGTGTTAGATGGTGTTCAAGTTAATCCATTCTTTCAGATTTTGCAACTAAGAGGTGCGCTTTCTTTCTGTATCTCTTTTTACCTTCCATAATCAATCGTATCTGTAGCAGTCTGTACTTTGACATGACCAAAATATTCAATTTTTGCCTTTTAATAGTTTGAACAACTTCTTCATTTTTATTAACTCTTCGTAGGACTTATATTGGCAATTCTATCTATTCACTATATACACAGCCTTCTACGATAGCAGAAGCATTCAAATGCCTCTAATTTTTTGATCTCTGATTGTTTCATCGTCCAGGCTTCAGAGCTCTCAACTAGCATTGTAAAAACATCAACACAGTAGCCTTATCCTTAGGTCCACCTTTCCCCCTTTAGATTTTTATTGTATAATACCTTCTTCATGTGTACAAATTTGGTTCTATCGGTATCAATACGAAATTTAATCTCTTGGAATTGCTCTGCATTATGAGTTATACATGTTTCCAAGTACTTGCAACTGTTTACTCTTTCTATTTGAATATTGTTGATACATAATGTTTCGCTGTATTGCGGATTTTTTGTGATAACCATGAATTTTGTGTTCCAAGTTCATTTTGAATTAATTACTATTAAACTGGGAATAAGCCACAATTAAAGATAAAAATACGTTTATTGGCGTTTCAATTTCCACTTCGGAAATCGTTCTCAAAATACAAACAGTAAATTAAACAAATTTTGTTTTTTGTTACATAGTGAAAAATTCTTCTAATAATTTAATTTTATCTGACTCATTTATATTGACAATTCAGACATACATTATGCATTTTAAAGTAGACGACTTTAAAATGATGTTGCCAATATTGTTGAGTTGCGCTCCTGGGACGATTACTTATAAGATAGTTCATTCAATTACATGAAATCAACTTTAACTTGAGAATATCCGTCAGAAAAAAATCATAGCATGTAATTCGTCTTTAAAAAGACAAACACATGACATGATGACAGTAAAATTCTCCTGTTAGTGATTCCATAGTAAATTATGAGGGAAAAACCAGGAAAAAAACCTCATAATACTATCCCGACATTGTAAGTATTTGTTCGTGAATTTAGTTTACCTTCAACAAACATCAAAATTCTGATTTTATTGTTATGTTATGTTACGTTATTTAAAAAACATAAATGATGTATCCTCTATTATGTTACTGACTTACTAATACTGGTATTTTCTTATTAATAACTTCCTCTTTCAATATTGGTAACCAGATCCTACTACATTCTGCCGAGGAATTTGCGACACAATTGGCCTCATTTAGCATAATTAGAGCCGCTTCTTTGATTTTTCTTTTTTTACCATCCGTTTCTTTTAGGACTATATTTGAATTATTCCATTGAACCCTATGTTCATTATCCCATGCGTGTTTACAGATTTGAGATATATCAAATTCTTTATTTTTAATATAAGATTGATGTTCACTTATTCTAAAATTTAATGGCCTTGATGATTCACCTAAATAAAACTGATCGCATTCACAAGGTATTTTATAAATGCAATTCTTTGTCCTTTCTTGTTCATTGTTAGGTTTGGTTTTGGATAAAATAGATCTCGTGTTTGTTGTTTTGAATGTTGTTGAAATGTTGAATTTGTTTCCTATCCTTTTAAGTTTTTCTGATAGTCCTTTTATGTACGGTATTGTTATTTTCCTCATATTATTCCTTGTACAGTAGAGTCTCGATTATCCGCCCTTCGGTTATCCGCCGTTCCGTTTTATCCGCCGCACATTTATGCAAAAAAAATTAATTTTGTATAATTTTGAAAATAATCTGCTACACGCCAATGACTGTACAGGTAGGAATTTGGTGTCAGGCTGCCAGACAAAATAGATTATTTACCTCCCCGTCCCCAGACCAGTCATAAATACTCTGGTTTTATAACTTTATTACTTTATTCGCTATTTAGTACACTTTCGTCGAATCAACTATTGTTCCTTTCAGTGAGTCATGCACAGTAAGGTTATTTGTTCGCTTTACCGTTTTGAGGCCCGTACGCTACGAGTAAGAGTTTATTCTTTGCTATCAATCGATCGTGGTTATGGAGAAACAAAAAAGGAAAAAGATTGTCTTATCAATGCAAGACAAACTAAATGCATTAAAAAGGCTTGATAAAGGGGAAACACTGCAGAGAGTGGCTGATGACTATGGTGTTGGTCGTCGTACTGTTGGAGATTGGAGGAAAAACCGATCAGAATTGGAAAAATGGTGTTCTTCATGAGCCACTGAAATCGACTTGAAAGACAGAAAATCCATGAAAAAAAGTGATTACGAAAAAACTAGCGAGGCTTTGTACATTTGGTTTGTCCACTTTAGGGATAAGGGAGTGCCTATATCCGGGCCTATCTTAAAAGAAAAGGCATTGCACTTCCAAAAGCAATTTCAAGAGGGTGAGGCAGATTTTACAGCAAGTGTCGGCTGGCTAGACCGTTGGAAGAAGCGGTACGGGATTCGTCAGCTGTCTATTTGTGGTGAGAAATTATCATCAAACTTTCAAGGAATGGCTACATTTAAGAAATCGTTTCAAGCATTTATTAAGGCGGAAAATTTAACAAATGATCAAATATTTAATTGCGATGAAACAGGCCTTAATTATAAAATGTTACCCAATAAGAGTCTTGCAGCTAAAAGTGAATCAGCAGCTCCTGGCTATAAACGCAGCAAAGAGCGAGTAACCATTTTAGCATGTAGCAATTCCACGTCAAACCATAAGATGGAACTCACAATGATTGGAAAGGCAAAGAACCCCAGAGCATTTAAGGGAATTTCAAGACATGCTCTACCAGTGAAATATTGCAATCAGAAAAGTGCGTGGATGAGCAGTGACATTTTTAAAGATTGGTTCTTCTCGGATTTTGTACCATCAACAGAGAAGTTTCTAAAAGACAATAATTTACCAAGAAAAGCAGTTTTACTGTTAGATAATGCGCCGACTCATCCTGATGAAAGTGAACTAAAAGATGGGGACATAAAGGCCATGTTCCTCCCTCCGAATGTCACAGCTATCTGTCAACCTATGGACCAGGGTGTTTTGGAGACGCTGAAAAGAAACTATCGGAGAATCCTTCTATCGACCATGATAGAAGAAATGAACGATGGCCGAGACTTAATCCCTATATTGAAAGCCATTAACTTGAAAGATGTGTCCTACTGGATCTCAAGTGCATGGGATAAGGTTGGGGCACAAACAATTACCAAGTCCTGGGATAAGCTGTTGTGTGAGGATGAAGGAACTGCTGACAACACTTTGGATGAACTTCAGGAAAATATATTGCCCTTAGTGAAACGTAACCCTGGATGTGAGGATGCGTCTTTGGGTGATGTTGGAGAGTGGTTTTCAAGGGATGAACAATATGAAATAACCGATGAAGAAATTGTTACGGTTGTTAATAGTGAAGGTGTTGAAGACATCGAAGAATTAGAGACTGTTGAGCCACAAAAAGTTTCACACAAAGAAGGAGTAAAAATTTTTGAAGCTGCGATAAAATACGTCGAGCAACAAGAGGAAGCCAGAGCTGTCGATATTATGATGCTACAGAGATGGCGAGACTTGGCAGCAACACAACGAGATACATCAGTAAGACAGATGAAAATCACTAGTTTTTTTCGTTCACCCTAAACCATTATGTCTACAATATCCAATGTAAGTCAATGTTGAACTGATTCTAGTTTTATTTTAATCTTGTTAATATTATTATATACATAAAGTATACAGTATATAATTACACTTTTATTGCACTTAAATAAAGTCCATTGCAATGTTATTACAATAGCCCCAAAACTTGTGTTTCATTTTCTACCCTCCCTATTATCCGCCATTCCAGCTTATCCGCCCTTCCGTCGGCCCGTTTATGGCGGATAACCGAGACTCTACTGTATATATTCCCGCCGGGGAGCCACAGGTGTATAGAAAACCAACACACACCAATAGATATTTAAATTTCAAATCAAATCACAATGTTAATGTAAAAAAGGGAATAATTAAATCCTTATACGATAGAGCCAAAATTACTTGTTCTAATGAAAATTCGTTCTTGGAGGAGAAACATTTGTTAACATCTGTTTTATTAAAAATGATTATCCTTTATCGTTTATAAATAAGGAATTTTCAACAATCGATCGAATAGAACAGAACAACTTAGAACGAGATCCTACAGCATACACAAGGAATAATATGAGGAAAAAACCCAATACCGTACATAAAAGGACTATCAGAAAAACTTAAAAGGATAGGAAATAAATTCAACATTTCAACAACATTCAAAACAACAAACACGTTGAGATCTATTTCGTCCAAAACCAAACCTAACAATAAACAAGAAAGGACAAAGAATTGCATTTATAAAATACCTTGTGAATGCGATCAGTTTTATTTAGGTGAATCATCAAGGCCATTAAATGTTGGAATAAGTGAACATCAATCTTATATTAAAAATAAAGAATTTGATAGATCTCAAATCTGTAAACACGCATGGGATAATGAACATAGGGTTCAATGGAATAATTCAAATATAGTCCTAAAAGAAACGGATGGTAAAAAAAGAAAAATCAAAGAAGCGGCTCTAATTATGCTAAATGAGGCCAATTGTGTCGCAAATTCCTCGGCAGAATGTAGTAGGATCTGGTTACCAATATTGAAAGAGGAAGTTATTAATAAGAAAATACCAGTATTAGTAAGTCAGTAACATAATAGAGGATACATCATTTATGTTTTTTAAATAACGTAACATAACATAACAATAAAATCAGAATTTTGATGTTTGTTGAAGGTAAACTAAATTCACGAACAAATACTTACAATGTCGGGATAGTATTATGAGGTATTTTTCCTGGTTTTTCCCTCATAATTTACTATGGAATCACTAACAGGAGAATTTTACTGTCATCATGTCATGTGTTTGTCTTTTTAAAGACGAATTACATGCTATGATTTTTTTCTGACGGATATTCTCAAGTTAAAGTTGATTTCATGTAATCGAATGAACTATCTTATAAGTAAAGTCGTCCCAGGAGCGCAACTCAACAATATTGGCAATATCATTTTAAAGTCGTCTACTTTAAAATGCATAATGTATGTCTGAATTGTCAATATAAATGAGTCAGATAAAATTAAATTATTAGAAGAATTTTTCACTATGTAACAAAAAACAAAATTTGTTTAATTTACTGTTTGTATTTTGAGAACGAATTCCGAAGTGGAAATTGAAACGTCAATAAACGTGTTTTTATCTTTAATTGTGGCTTATTCCCAGTTTAATAGTAATTAATTTACAATGCCACAAGAAAATAGCTTCAGAACAATATTAAGTTCATTTTGATGCCATATTCCTGACATTTTTTGTGGTGTTATCTTTACAATCTTCTAAGAGTCTCTTTGAAGGTGGTCTCAGTGTGTATGTTAAATAGTAGCGGTGCCAATATATCCCCTGTCTTACCCCCCTAAGAATATCAATCTCTTCTCACAGTTATTCTCACATAAATCCTATATGAACATGTTTAACTTAGACATGTCACAAGAAATTACAGTGTTTTTGTGTTTTTCCTATATACTATAACAGAGAATTGCTTATAACAAAAAATCTGCAATGCCATAGTTTGGATACAAAGAATATTGCATTTTCACGGCCGAAAATAAATATTAAATCTTCAATTTTTTATTCAGGTAAATGTTCAAGATAGATACCACCTCATGCCGATCATTACACCTGCTTATCCCCAACAGAATTCCACATTCAACGTTTCACAATCGACCAGAACGATTATGGTTGAAGAATTCAAACAAGGTCTGCTTATTACCGATGACATAATAGTCGGCAAATACGGATGGGATAAGCTGTTCGAACAACCTCCATTTTTCACTAAATACAAACATTTTATTCTACTGCTGGTTATGGCAGACAATTCCGATGATCATTTGGAATGGTGTGGACTTGTTGAGAGTAAGGCGAGATTACTAGTAGGTAAGTTCAGCTAATTGTTAATCATTTTTAATTTCGTCATAACTTTATTGGTGGATGAGTAAAGTAAGTTTTAAGATATGACGATATCTGCATTAAAGTGTCAAATCAAACATCAGCATTAGAAAGTTTGATCGTCGATTGTAACACAGTGCCAATCACTTTTTGTTTCGGTAGAACTATCGATCTACTAGATCATTCACAGTAACGTGAATGTGATTCGTCCACCTGTCCAGCCAGGAATATAACCTGCTGTTAAGTAATACACTCTTCAAGCTCCCCAAACGTCGACTTTACACAGGGAACTCCCCAGCTGACTCACCTGACAACATCATTAGGAATCAGATAGATTATATAGCAGTAACAACAAGATATAAAAACATGATAAAATCATCAAAAACGTACCCAGGTGCCGATGTTCCTACGGACCACAATTTGTTGGTATGCAGAATGGTTATGAGAGTAAAAAGGCTCGAGAACAGATCTAATTTAAACACAATCGATATTAAAAAACTCACTAATCCAGAAACCGAAATAAAAGTACGAGAACAACTAATAAAGAAAATAAAGGACATTAACGAGAACACGTCGGACATAATAGAGAGATGGGATAAATCGAGGGAAGCAATCCAAACAACATGCGCGACTCTATTAAAGCGTGACCGACGGAAGAAGAAAGAATGGATGTCTGATGAGATAATGGATATGATGGATGAAAGACGTAAATTCAAGAATAAAAATACCAGCAGATCCACAAAACCATAAGAACGAAAATTCGAGAAGCCAAAGAAAAATGGTTTTCCAACGAATGCAGGGAAATAGAACAATATGAACGAAAATACGACAGTTACAATATGCACAAAAAAATAAAATCGATGACAAACAAGAGGAAATTCAATAAGTCATCCAACAGCATAAAAGATAGCGATGGAAATCTTATCTCGGAGCCATCAACGATCTTAAAAATATGGAAATCATACATAGAAAAATTATTTGCATCTGACAGGACTGATGATCACCTATATGGAGAAGGAGAAACAGAACCTTCAATAACTTAAATCGGAGATAGAAGATGCTATTGCAGCACTAAAAAACAATAAGTCAGCAGGTCCGGACAATGTACCCTGCGAAATATTAAAGATCCTATGTAAATCAGACAAACAGTTCCTTGATGATCTAGTTGTACTTTTTAACAACATATATAATAGCGGTAAAATCCGGGAGAACTGGCTACAGTCAACATTTATTACAATCCCGAAGAAACCAAATGCCCAGATTTGTGATGACTACCGGCTTATAAGCTTGATCAATCATGTCACTAAAACGTTCATTAAGATCATTTATAGAAGAATATATGATAAGTGTGAGTCAAATATTGATAGATCGCAGTTTGGTTTTCGGAAAGCACTTGGAACTAGAGAAGCAATTTTCGCTCTCCAAGTGCTTATACAGCGGTGTAGAGATGTTGATAAGGACGTGTATTTGTGCTTTGTAGATTTTAGAAAAGCATTTGACAATGTCAATCATGAACAATTGATATTGACAGGTATTGACGACAAGGACATTCGAATTGTGGCAAACCTATACTGGAATCAAACAGCAAGAGCAAAAATTTTCAACGAACTCACTGAAAGCGTGCAGATCAAAAGAGGTGTCCGTCAGGGGTGTATATTATCCCCACTCCCATTCAATATGTATTCCGAGGAAATATTTAACAAATGTATGGAAAATGCAAATGAGGGCATAAAAATAAACGGCGAGTTAACGAACAATATAAGATATGCCGACGACACGGTGATCCTTGCCAGTACCATAGACGAATTACAACAAGTAATGGAAAGACTTTATTCAGTTAGTGAGCAATACGGCCTGAGCCTCAACTTCAAGAAGACAAAGTGGATGCTGATAAGCAAAAAGCAACAACCTGCTCGACAATTACGGATAAGTAACATACTAATTGATCATGTAGAATCTTATGTGTACCTTGGCACCAACGTAAATGCAAAATGGGAACAGACCATAGAAATTAAGGCGAGAATAGAACGATCTAGAGCAGCATTTAGCAATATGAAAAAGCTCCTCATAAGCAATGATTTGTCTCTTCCCCTAAAACTACGTCTGGTTAAATGCTATATTTTTCCGATCTTGCTGTATGGCGTGGAGGCCTGGACGCTGACGGAGACGCTAACGAGGAAACTAGAAGCATTCGAAATGTGGGTGTACCGACGCATTCTTCGTATATCCTGGACCGAACATGTCACCAATATAGAGGTACTCCAAAGAATCGGAAAGTAGAAAGAGATCGTGAATACAATTAAACAAAGAAAGCTTGAATATCTAGGCCACATATTGAGATACGATAAGTACCGTCTGCTACAATTGATTGTCCAGGGAAAAATAGACAGTAAGCGAGGGCCAGGCAGGAGAAGACACTCGTGGCTCCAAAATCTGCGGAAGTGGTTCGGGCTCACATCGGTCGAACTATTTAGAAGCGCCGCAAACAAGATCAAAATTGCCATGTTAATAGCCAACGTTCGCAACGGACAGGGCACTTGAAGAAGAAGTCCAGCTTGGCTATAAAGAGATATGTAATGTTTTATAGGTCGATAAAATCGTTAGAGACCAAATTGACTATATTTTAATAAACCACAGATACCAAAACGCAATACAATCGGTGAAAGCGTACCCAGGTGCAGACGTGGCGTCGGACCACAATCCTCTTATAGCAAAATTCTAACTTCACTTAAAAAAGATACAAAAAAGCTACAAAAGTGATAAATTAAACGTACAAAAATTAAAATCAGAAGACGTAAAAGAAAAACTGAAACAAGACTGTCAGAAACAGTATTTAGATAGGACACAAAATAACATTTCCGATAATCCACAATATTTTTGGTCTTACATTAAGAGCAAAAGAAATGTGTATAATGTACCATCTAGAATGGTCTATAATGATAGGGTTGGCTTAAATGTCAAGGACTCTGCCAATATGTTCGCAGAATATTTCTCATCAGTCTACTCAGATGAACAACCAGATACTTTACCTTTTTTTAGTTTTGACAGTTCGATTTGTTTGAGTTTCATAATACTTACAGCAACTGAGGTCTATGATACTATTGCAAGTTGTAAAAACCGATTATGTGCAGGGCCGGATGGAATCCCAGCCTATTTTCTGAAAAAATGTGTATGTGTACTTACAAAACCAATTTTGGTTATTTTTAACAGATCATTTGGTACTGGTAACTTATCCAGTCTCTAGAAGAAAAGTTTTTTAAAGCCGATTTTTAAATCGGGTGCAAGAAACGATATATCAAACTATCGAGCTGTCTGTAATCAGTCAGAGCTGCCCAAGTTGCTTGATTGTTTGGTTAGTAAGAAACTGAAATGTAGTTTTAGAGGCATTTTTAATCCTGAACAATTTAGCTTTATGAGAGGGAGGTTAACAAATGCCAACCTAGTTTTTGTATGTCAGTCATATACATAACAGCTTTGAAGAGGGATTCCAGGTTCTCAATCTATACTGACTTTCAGAAAGCATTTGATCTAGTCAACCATGGGTCCTCTTACAAAAACTAGAGCTTTGGGTATTTTGGATCCCCTTCTTTAGTGGATTTCAGAATTTGTTAGTGACCGTACGCAGGCAGTTAACACGAGAAGTGACACTTCAATTGAAATAACAGTTCCATCGGGCGTGCCACAAGGCTACCATTGTGGCCCTGTTTTGTTTTGTTTATTTTTGGTTGATTTAGTACAACAAATCAAAAATTGTCGTGTTCTTATGTTTGCTGACGATGTAAAACTGTTTAGAAAATTTCAATCCTGGAATGAAGCTGCTATATTACAGGAAGATCTTAAATCGTTTTATGATTGGTGCACTTTAAACAAAATGTCACTCAATATAAACACATGTCTTAAAAGGACGTTCTCGAGGCAAATAAATCCAATTACATTTGTTAACTACATAAATATCTTGCCATAAGCCTCGAAAAATGAAGTATCAGATTTGGGAATCTCGTTAGACACCAAACTGTTATTCTCAAGCCACATCAACCAAGTAACAGACAGAGCGATGAAGGTGCTGGGATTTATCCAACGCACATCAGTGGACCTCTCTTTGTTTACATTTAGAAAGCTTTATTGTGGTCTCGTTGGGCCCATTCTGGAGTTTGGATCAGTTGCATGGTCTCATACAACTGTTACATTTAACAGATTGAAAGAGTCCAGAATAAATTTTTAAGGGTAGCAGCCTATAAGAGTGGATGCAGGAGAGAGGAATACGACTATCAGTGGGTAAGAGATAGTCTTAACTTACCAACACTTGAGTCAAGCAGGACATTGTTAGATTTAGACTTATCGCTTGTTCGTCTTAAAGTTCCTAGTAGAAGCAACAAATAATCAGAAATCTTTTCAGTGCCATTTCATCACACCCATTATGAACCAACTATACAATTGGTGCGGAGTGCTAATAGCCTGCCAAGACAATTGGATATTTTTGACTCCAAAATTAGTTTGTTTAAAAAACAACTAACAAAGTTTGTTGTAGTTCTTTATTTTTCTTATATGCTTGTATTATTCTGAGGTGTTTGTTATTTTAATAATTTATTGTTGTTAAAGTGCAGAAGCATTGGAAAGATGGAAAAGAAAGGTGAATAGGATGGGTATAGAGCTTAGCAATGAATGTATATATACACTCCAGTTTGCTGATGACCCGGTAGTACTAGCGACTGACAGAGAAGACATGCAGTACATGCTTAGAAAACTGATAGAAGAATATAACGACTGGGGAATGAATGTCAATATAACAAAAACCAAATATCTTTGTATTGGAAACGAGTCAGATAACATAGACCTCGAAAACGGACAACATATTTCAGAGCTATGACTACTTGGGTGTTGCCTTTGACAATACAGGAACTGATACACGGGAAACAGAAAAACGAATCACACAAGCAAAGAAAGTCTTAGGATGTTTCAATGGTATACTGTGGAGTAAAGAGATAACGAAAGGAAGAAAATTTAATATATATGAGACCATGATTAAAAGTACTTTTCTTTATGGCGCTGAAACATGGAGAATTAGTGAAAAGAACAAAAAGCGAATAGAAACAGTAGAGATGAATGCAATGAGAAGATCTTTAGGTATTTCCAGACGAGACCGAATCAGAAATGATGCAATAAAACAACGTATGGGAATAGAAGGAAATATAACTCAAGATATAGAGAAGAAACAATTAAGGTGGTATGGGCATGTTCAACGGATGCCAGCAACAAGACTCACCAAAAAAGTATTAGAATGGCAACCGACAGGTCGACGGAAAAGAGGAAGACCCAGATTAGAATGCCAACACGGCGTAAACAGGTCCATGAGCGAAAGAAATTTAACAACAAACGACTGCGAAGATATGAAGAGATGGTGTTTAGGTATCGGACAACGTCGAAAGACGTTCTAAACCGATGTATATATATATTGTTAAAGTGTAAATTTTTAAAACTTGTGATTATTATTTTAATCATTTATTGTTTTTAAGATGTAACTTTGTAAAACTTGTAAGTAAATGGATGTCGTATATAGATAAATAATTTGTTCCTAATTGTAACAAATTTTTAACTATTATCAAACCATGGTATGTTACTCTTGATCTGACATGTTTGAATATGTGCTATTTTATTTATGATAGACTGACTGTTTGATAAAATTTTATTGTAAATAGTATTGACATCAGTACAATCTAAATCCCTATCATAAGAAAGTAAATTCATTTGGATTTGATATATTTTTCCTTTTTAAGATATCTGTAACGTTTACTAGAGACATTAAAATTTTGAAAATTATTATTGAAATTGACCAATATTAGTGAATGATCACTCAACTTGGGAGTTTGAATGAACAAAACAACTAACCAGATCATTCTTAACAAGAACATAATCACTTAAGGTTTCGCTAACCTTCATAATTCTAGTAGGATTCGTATAGCTCAGTTACTAACTCCTTAATGCCACATTGTAAAAACATTGCTTTAATTTTCTAGGTGTAGAAGCTAGTACTTAAAAAATGCAAATTAAAATCAGCAAGTAAAATACAATTGACATTATTTTTAAATAATTCATCAAAAATATGCTATAAGTTCTCTAAAAACACTGCATCAGAACTAGAAGGTGAATGATACTTGCCGCTCAAAACAATCTTTTAAGAACCAATATCTACTTTAATAAATTTACACCAAAAATTCTTTTTCTTTAACAAAAGTTTTAGCGGCAGTACACTTAAGGTTATCCTGAACATATAGTACAACAACCCCTGTAGATCGTTTAGATGAATTGCAGCGTATCATTTTATAACCACACAAAGCAATTTCAAAATTTTCAATTTCACTTGTAACTCGAGCTTTGCTAACCACGATTATTTTAAGACAATAACACAGCAGACTTAACTTGATTTGGTCTATTTTGTTTAACAAGCTCTGTGCATTTAAATATAAAACATCAATATGCAATAATATACTAGGACTACTTACTAGTTTTAGATCTACAGATCCAGGTTGACTCAGCCTGAATAAAATGAGCATAGTCGGCACGTAATGTCGTGAGAAAATTTACAGAGACCAAAACAAGCAAAATACTAGTAAAATGGCAACGCTGTTAGAGTTACCACTCCTTTATTGTAGTACATAGTAGTAGAACAGTAGCGTAGATATCTAATTTTAAATTAAATAAAAGTTTTTACTTTTATTTAATTTTATTTACCAAAAAGTTTCATTTTCTATAAAGTTTAAATAAAAAATATCGGTGTTTTTAACTTCTGTGATATATCTTGGGAGTGATAACACTAATCGACTCGACTGAACAGAACTTATTGTAAAATAAAAATATTTATATAAAACATTGTTAATAATAGTAGTTATTCAGCGAGAATGACAGTGACAGTTTCAGCTGACATCCTCCCCTAAAACATTAATAATTTTTGTCCTATCAAGAAGTGTGTTTATACCCTGTTTTCAAAGATATATAAGCAAAATGAGAATATCTACAATTAAAATAGAAATAAAGGTTTCAACTAACACCTAATAAGTACTTACTATCTACTCAGAATCGCTGTTATCACTAGTATCACTCGTATCATCTAAATTTATATGTAATTTGGTTAATGCTGGTAAATATTTAACATAGTAATTTTCCACTCCGATCACATGTTTTATTTTTATTACATTTTTCCAGTTGGTTGCTGAAATTTTTGTGACTTCTCTTCTAATTAACTGGAGAACAGTAGACAAAAAATTTTGGAGCAACGTTTCTTCTCATTATATTTCCTTTAAGTTGAGCCCATATTAACTCTATTGGGTTCAATGTACAATAATAAGGAGGAAGTCTAAACACAGTATGCCCGTTACTACGAGCACAGTTGTCAACAACATATTCCTTTTCGTACTGTTTACTATGAACAACCTCCAACAATTGCTTTTTAATATAAGATGTCTCAAAATACAAATCTTCCGTGAATAAAAAATCCTGAATTTTTAATTTATTCCAACTATTATTTGAAGTTTTTTTCATTAATCTTGAATGATATGATGCGGTGTCCATGATAATCACATATGTACAATATGTACATAATGTACAATAATAAGGAGGAAGTCTAAACACAGTATGCCCGTTACTACGAGCACAGTTGTCAACAACATATTCCTTTTCGTACTGTTTACTATGAACAACCTCCAACAATTGCTTTTTAATATAAGATGTCTCAAAATACAAATCTTCCGTGAATAAAAAATCCTGAATTTTTAATTTATTCCAACTATTATTTGAAGTTTTTTTCATTAATCTTGAATGATATGATGCGGTGTCCATGATAATCACATATTTAAGTAATTTCGGAAGAAGACATTTTTCAAACCATGATTCAAAAATTGAACTTTCCATATCGTCATGATAATCCAGAGACGCGTTTTTAATTTGTTTTGCAGTTGAAACACTTTTTGTTATATGATTGTCCAACTTTTTTTTCACGGTGTCATGAGTATCATACCAGGTCTCATCTAAATAAACAATATTTCGTTTCATTTTTCGATACTCAGTTATCTGTCTGATATAATTGTTTCTTAAAGAAATTATTCTAGTACTTTCCATTAATGTCTGTCTCTTGTCTATAGTTTTGTACTTAAAATTATTGGCTTTAAGAAATAATCGAAGTGTTGTTGCTGAACACGAGAGAATGCACTTTCGAACTAATTCATTTCGAAGGCTTTCAATAGTTGGAAAAATATTAGCCGCATACATTTGGTATATTGTTCTAGTTATAGATTCAATTAAGTGCGGTTCTATTTTTCTGAATTTGTCACAATCCTTTCTCTTCTGTCTAGAAGATGTTTCTCCTATAATTTTGTAGTGGGTTGCTTTGGACACTCTGGTTAAAAAACATGTTTCTGCAATTGCCTCTGAATTAGACAATTCAGCACACAGTCCTTCATAAACATTTTTTAGCATACGTTTAGCATCATCAGAAAGGTATTGAAAATGTTGCTTACGTTTTACTACACGCCTTTGTAAATCTTCCAATCGATTAGAGGGTTCCATTGTCTCTTCAGCTACATAATTATTATCGCACCACGGACGCAATATTTTAAAATTATGAAACGTATAAAAACATAATCACGTAAAAACGTATCAAAAAAAGTAAAAAACGTAAAATATAAAATGTTTTCCGTATAAAGAACACTGAAAAAAGTCACTACCAAACTAACTTGCGGTTCACTATTTGAAATTTGAATTTAACTGAATGCTGTAGCAGTTATGATTTTACTAAAAATATTCTTGTCTCCCAAAAATCTGTTGGTCATCTCCGCAATTTAAAAATAAAATATAAAAATTTGCCTACCTAAGTTTTCCCCGTCCCGGATGGATTGGATTGTCCCCCCCCCCCCTTGGACGGTTGAAACCTGATCCCTTATTTTATGACTCCGTAAGCTCAGTCAAATACTGATATAATCTTACCCCAAGTATGAATAAGTCTACCGACAAAAGATAATGCATTATGATTTGTCATAACAGCGATATCTGATGTTTTCATTGGCAGTTAGTCCACGTGGACTTGTCATAAGTTCGATGAAAACTTAATTGGCTGATTGTTCATATCTGGTTCATATTTTAAAAGATTATACCAGGCACGTCTGAATGTTAATATCGAGTGGAATCTGGAAACTTTGTATTATTATACGTCTGAGTCATTGATAATTTTACAGACTCCTGGTAGAGTACCTTTTTGTTGAATGATTTTATTACAGATACATATATTTTTGCACAGTCTCACGGAAATACGAGGCTACTATACCTTGGATTAAACCAGGGTTAATAATAGGTGGTTGAAGCGTAGCACTGGCCCTGTTAGAAAAAAAAAAGATAGTGCAAACACTTCTGACCACGGCGCAGTAGACGAAATTTGGTTTAGTCCCCACTTCCATGCGAAACGCACTATACTATGCAACGTGAATGGCAGAACGTTTCAGTTTAGATAGCATAATTCCACTTACAATAGAACATTTTTGTCTTTACGTGAATTTTAACTCCGCCTTCACGCAGCTCCATGGTCAGGAGTGTTTGCACTATCTCTACCCTCTTTATAAAGGGTTAATATAACAAAACAATATTTTTTTTGGTAGAAGTGTCATCCATGAATTACTTTTATTTACTGGTTTTAACATTTTAAATTTTTAGGTCAGCTGGAGAGAAACCAATACATAACCCTAGCACACATAAACCCCGAAAGCTATGCCATGCTTGAATCCGCCAGAGAACCCCACACATTATGTTCCATGTGGTTCATAGGACTTGAGTTTGCCAAAACTGAAGGCATCAGCGTCGATCTAACAAGAGACATTCAGACATTTACGGAACAAGTCAATAACCATGCTATCAATATCAAGATGCTGAAGGATGGAATGAGGTGAGATATCTTACTTTTAATAACAGTTTTTTAAAAAATATTTAAATTCAGAGAATTATAAATAGAATTGAAAAACAAAAATTAGAACTATAGATTTTTAGAACATGACTCATTAAGCGTAATAATCCATGATACTATAACAAAACAAGATAAGTCAACGCGCATGTTCTTGTGACGTAAGTCCGAGACAAGTTGTCAAAATGCCAAATTAACAAAATTAATGACAGAAAGTTAAACTTTAAAATTTACTTTAAATTTTTCATTTGATGCAATTCTAGTTATATAAATAAAAAGAATTAATGTTAATAACAGCAGAGAATTAATATTATAACAGCAGAGCAAATGTTTCTATGGATAATAATAAATGTTTCTATAGATAATAATATATACTAATGCCCATTTTAATAGAACTTGAAGTAATACTTTATTTTTGATAGGTCTTTAAAAAAAGTTACTTTGTATGTATGTAATGAACTGTAGCGAACATATTTTTCGTAGTTATAATGGCGACACATTAAAAATAACAAAAATTATTTAAAAAATTTAATAGAAGCTGCAAAATATGTAAATGTTAGCGAAGATGTAAAATTACTTTTTTTAGATGCAAAATGTATTTTAAGATACGAATTCTAAATCAAAATATTAAAGATAATTACAATACCACAAAAGAAAAATCACAAAGATTGTAAAATAAATGTCAAAATAATATTCATAAAGTCTCAAGTTTGACCCGCTTTTCCTTTATGGTCAAATTCTTTACATCTTGCCGGCCTTTTATATTTAATTTATGTTTTGTAGCAATATTTATTTTGTTTGTAATACACACAATCAAATCGTAGATTCATATATTTCTTTATTTAATTTTACAAATTACTTATTAATTTTCAAAACACGTTTTCACAGAAAGTAACTAGTTATGACTTCTTAGTGCAAGATATGGCATCGAGGTATACTTACCGTTAACAGTTTAAGTTTTGAAGTTGTTCATTACAGTAATGGAACAACGTTGCCATATGATGCATCGTTAAAATATGATACATACAAGTCCCCTGGCTTTGTCTCGCTATGACGATATGCGCAAAGTCAATTAAAATTAGAACAACAAGTGAGCATATCTTGTTGTTATAGTATCATCGTAATAACCAATCATTTGAAACAGACTTATTAAGATAGGGATGATTTTTTCGTTTAATATCTCGGTGTCTCATCTGGACCATTGGAATTTCCCTTTTACTATTTTAAATTGATCTGGTTTATTTATTTAGCATGGTACAACACATGGTTTGCCTTATTGTCTTGAGTTAGCCTATCGACTTGAGTTGTTATTAACTGCCACTTTGTGAAATATTTGTACAATTTGTTTAGGTCGTTGGTCAGCGTGTTTTGGATAGTTTCAAACTGTTTGTGTTATACAGCTTAGGTTAGATCGTCAGCATATCCAAACTTTCTAGGCAGATCTGAGGTATATTGAGTAATCCCGGGGCCAAAACTTTACTGTTGAGTTTTCTTTGTTTGCTTGTTATTTCCGTGGATTACTTAGTATTGTCTGCCAGAAAGCATGTTGTTTATCAGTCACAGTGTTGTATAATAAGGAATCTGTTCCGTTAGCTTGTAGAGGAGCCTTTCTTTCTACATTGTATCGTAGTAGCTCCTTGTTCGGGTGGAATATTTTCCAGAATTCATGTGCCTATTTTGTTGAGAAGTCGTTCTAAAAGTTTATAACAGCAGCTACCAAGAGCTTAAGCTTTAGGGGCTTTAGTTTTCGACTTTGTCTCGTGGTTTATTGGGTTTTAGTACAGCAATTATTTTACTCAATTCAAAAGCTTTTTACTTGCACACTAAGAGTTATGTTCTGTTTGAAAATCACGACAGATACTGGCAACAGCTCTATGATGTAGGTACTTTCATCCGCTTGCGAAAATGAAATAGAACTGGGCTTTCATATGACATTGGTGATTAAAACTGATTCGCTTTTCTTAATGACTTTATAATGATCTTTATTTACCAAAGAATGGAAGCTATTGAAAATTAATAAATATGGATATGCTATGGACATTCCATATCCTGCTATTGCAGGATACAAGGGATAGTGATGCGCAAAGTATAGCCTCTCCTATTCAAATGTCAAGCTCACCTGCCCGCGTGATCATCTTGATTATGGTCATCCGGTGCAGCCTGCTAGATAACAAATGAGGCTCTGACGTCCGAGTGATTGCCGGTATAAGCAATCCCCCACTTACTGACTAACGGCTTAGGGCGGATGAGTTAGTGAATGGTAGGTCATTCTTTTGTCCTGGGGTTGAGAAATCGGCCCCGAAGGCGGATGAACCAACAAATAATGGTCAACGGCATAAGAATGTAGAAGGAAAAGGGGAACCACTGCATTAACGGCTTATAGAGCACCCCCACCATAGAATTGACACTGCAATTGCACACCGTTACTAATCATGGAAAGCGGAGGCCAAGATTCAGCAGGAGAGGAGAAACATATTTATATCACCAGGCCTCTCATGTCGTAAACATGCGAAAATCTCGTGAAGAAATCCTAAAAATAAAGAAATCTAATTTTAGAATGTGCACATGGAATGTTAGAAGTTTATTTGCGGCTGGGAAGCTTGACAACACAATTCAAAAAATGAAAAGAATGAAAATAGACCTATTGGGAATTAGGCGAAATTAGATGGTCAGAGTCAGGATCATGTAAAAATGGTGTAGGTATATTAGTAACATCATAACTGAGTAAATATGTGACCAATTTCGTACCAGTCTCGGATAGAATAATATTACTCCAAATAAATACTCAACCATTTAAAACTAGCATATTTCAAATTTATGCCCCGACTGCAGATAGATAATATGATGATAAAGTCGAGAAGTTGTATGATCAGATCCAAGACATCTTACAGAAACATTTTGTAAAGAATTTTGTAAAGAAAATGATATGATCATTGCAAACACCTGGTATAAACTACCCAAGCGACGACTATACACTTGGAAAGCCCCTTTGATGATGGCAATAACCCTGAGTCGTCAAGAAATCAAATAGACTATATAGTTGTAAATGAGCGTTTCCGAAATGCCGCCAAAAAAGTCATTACCTTTCCTAGGACAGATATTGGATCTGATCATCAACCACTTGTAGCAGATATTAAACTAAGGTTAAAACGAATTCAGCGACAAAAACCAAATACCAATGTACTTAACTTTGACGATATAAACATAAAAGATAACATTAAATAGGAATTTAACAATAGAATAAAAAACATCGGAGAACAACTAGAAGATCCAGAAGAACTATGGAGTGAATTTAAAAACCAAGTTAACGAAATCTCCACAAACAATGATTATAGAAAAAACTTAATCAAGAAAAATAAATGGATGACAGACGACATCTTGAAATTAATTGAACAACGTCGACTGATAAAATCTAATGAAACAGAATATAGACACCGGCAGAGAAGATTAAAATGGGTGAGTGAATCCTCCCGATTCACTCCCCGCCTCTCGACGCGTTAGTGTTCTGAGCTGTTGGACGTGAATCCCTGTCCTGGCATTTGGTTTTCACCTCTGGTTGCGTTGAGTAGTTGAGTTACTGTGACCAAATGCCCATCTTGGTAGTTAGTATTCGCCTCTGGTTGCGTTGAGTAACTGAGTTACCGTTGCTAACTACCCATCTTCCTGTTTTCTTTTTCTTTTTATTTGTTCTCCTGAAGAAGCTACATACAATTGTAGCGAAACGTCGAGACGAACCCACTTATGGGTCACTCACAAATGACACGGTCCAAACCCGGAAGACGAATAAACTATAATGCATATCTCTATTTACTTTTTGTACAATCTTCTTCTTATTTATTTCTCTTTTAATTTATCTACGTCCCATTTTCTCTGTGCTTTTCGCCTTTAATTTTTCGTTTGTTTTTATTTTAAATTATGTAATCACTAGCATATGGTTCGAATCGATTGTCTTCGTATAATATTGATTTTTTTTTTACTTCGTCCAGAGCATTTTTACGTTTTTTATGTCTGTTTTTGGCTACTGTACAATCTTTTTTTCTTGTTAATATAATCATACAGCGTTTTATTAGTAATAATATAAAATTAATCTAATGATTACATTTAGTTTATACATTTTTGATTATTTTAAAAATTTCCGTTAAATATGTACACTTGTGTTTCTCGCATCTCTGTAACTAAATTTCAAATAACAGGTTAGATGCCAGGCATGTCAAAAGGAAACAGCTCTCACAGTATCTTGCTCCGGGAGTCCTTAAGAGAGAAAGGAAATTAAGTATCACTAAGAACGGGGTCACACCGGAACAAAATAGAAAGAGACAGTCTTCGGAAGTTGCTCAAGAACACAGTGATGCTCCAAATAAAAAGACGAGGTTGTCAGAGGATATTGTCTCACAAGAGGTAAGTAACAACATTTGTACTTAAATTAATTCATGGAAAAATGTTGAATATTGTAATATAGTATAAAAACTTCATCTAAACACCATATTCTAATATAACTTTCTTAAGATCAATATTAATTTTAAACAAACGACATTGCATATTTCATATTTCTGCTTCGTGGCATGCCTAGAGAAAGAAAAAATATTGTAAATCAACTCCGGAATCTGCTAAATAAAACTCGTTAGTTGTTATTGAGAACAAGTCACGGCTAATGTGTTTTATATTGTAATTTACCATAAGTCTTCTTAATTTCAGTTCGATGAATGCTCCAACACATCAATACACATAGATTCCAGCAGTAATTTAAGTCTAGAATCGGAGAGTAATGTTAGTTGTACATCCCCGGCCTCTACTCCTTCCCATATAAATACAAATTCCACCACCACAAACGTACCAGAAACGGTGTGTACGTGACAAGCTAAAACTGATGTATATGTGAGTCGTCCATTCGTCGCTGTCAAATAAAATAATGTAAGTATTATTTCTTAACCTGTTAGAGTTCGAACAAACATCATCAGTGCATTTACCTGAAATAAGTATTACCACTTTAATGAAGACAAACGTAAAGATTAAATTTTGATTAAAGTTAAAGCAATGTGGATGAATACTTACTATAGTTCATTCAAATTCGACGTGCAGTAAAAGTAAACAAAACCAGGCTATGCTACGTAAGACTCCATAGGCGTGCGGTTTTGCTTTCATATTTCCTATCAAATTAATAAAACAGTATGTACAATTAAAGATTTGTTTACTATGAACAAAGAAGATAAAATATACAATGTTAGTATTATTTTCAAGGAAATTCAAAATTAGCTTCCCTACTGTAAAATAAAAAGAAACTTACGGTTTGACAAAAATAATAAAGCAGTAATTGCAACGTTGTTTTGACACTTAAATGATCGAAATCGAAAAATCAAATACACTTAACTTTTAAAGTAAATTGTGTGTTAGTTCGCATTAAAAGTAGTAACTTATTATTATGTTTTCAGTTTTTATTTGAAAAACAATAAAATTCACGTGTAATTGTACATATTGTTTTAATAATTTAATACGAAAGCAAAACCGTATGCCAAATTTTGATTGATTGACAAAGAAGGCTTCTGGCTGAGTACAAAATAAACAACTGATCAAATCCTATTACGCGATATAGAAAATGAAAGGGGAGCTATAAAGATTACTTGAGGATAGAAAAAACAAACAGGGCGACCCAAAAGGACACTAAGAAGCATCTTCGTTATTAATGGATGTATAGTTTCATACGAGATATCATAGTGCACTATGGATGAAAAGGCGTCTGACTGAGTACAAAGGGAAGTATATAACGAATATATTAAGATAGAAAATCAATTACATATCTTAATAGATTCGTTATATCGTCCCTTTTCATTTGCTATGTCGCATGTTAGGATTCGATCAGTTCTTTATTTTTTAGTCAACCAGAGACCTTCTTGAAGTCAATAAATGAAAATTTGTCTTATAGTAAATTTATTTTCATCCATAGTGCCCTATGATATCTCATATGTAACTATACGTCCACTAATAACGAACATGCTGTGTAGTGCCCTTTTGGTAGTCGTCTTGTTTGTTTTGTCTATCGTAATATAATCTTTATCCCCTTAACTTTCATTTTCTATGCTGAATGTTAGCATTCAATCAGTTGTTTATTTTGAACTCAGTCAGAGGCCTTCCTTGATTCAATAAATCAAAATTTGTCTTACAGTAACTCTATTTTCATCTATAGCGTCCTATGATATCTCGTATGTAACTATACGTTCATTAATGACGAAGATGCTGTGTAGTGCCGTTTTGGTAGTCATCTTGTTTGTTTTGTCTATCTTAATATAATCGTTATCCCCTCCCCTTTCATTTTCTATGTTGCATGTTAGGATTCAATCAGTTGTTTATTTTGAACTCAACCAGAGGCTTTGCTTGAGTCAATAATCACTATAAATATAATGGGCCGCAACTTATGCTACGATGTCTACTTCATATTTTCATATGTATTTCATAATACAGGAAAATATAGGTTTACACATCGTTAAAATCATGATTTGAGAGTGCCCCTCGTAACATTCATACTGTTGACGGTTTATTTATACTTACTGCAGCTCTATCTTATATATTTAGTGTAGAAATGTTTAGAAAGATTTTCGAAGCCCCGCCCATTGAGACTTCAGAGGTAAGGTAGTTAATTAAGACACAACTGACCTTTTCCACTAAACAGACTCGAGATTCAAAAACTCGTGACTCGAAAAACAAAACGAACTGTTTCAAAACACGCCAGTCTTTAAAAAGTTTGTGAAAAGTTACTATTTTGTTTTATTGGACACGAGTTTGTGTTTTGTTTTTATTTTGTCCGTTTGGTGGGAAACCGTCATTAGATATTACATTTAATATTAAAACAATTTTTACATATTTAATTTAATTTTATTAATTCAATGCATTACAATAACGAATTCACATTATTATGTTGTTGGAAAACCTTATTGTAACATTATTAATTTGATTTTATCTTTGTTATTCTTCTGATCATAAAATATAAATGATAACATTTATTATAACTATAAATGAATACATTTAAGCACTATTATTCCCTGACGCACGCCCTGGCTAAAATATTATCACTAGAACAACAGTGGTCCAACTAAGTTATAGCAATTCTTCCGCGTACAAGGACTACCAAATGATATTGTATGTTAATACTTGAGTTTCGTATACGATGTCTATTTATATAGTTTATAAGGTGGATATTATGTACGTTTATACATTGTAAATCATGATTTGGGATTGCTCCTCGTAATGCTCCTCCATAATGCTGATAATGTGTCTTGGTTTGTTTACTGCTACTGCATCTTTAAGTTAAATTTGGTTTAGGTTTACATTAGTGAAGCTACTGAATATATGGCTAAAAATCCTTTTAAATTATATTAAATTTGTTATTTATTACATATTTGCTTATAAATTCGTATTATTTTAAAGTTTTAAACAGATATACGGCATGGCAACGCAATGCTCCCAATTGGGGGTGGCTGACCCTGAGACTTAGTCTCTGTATGGGCCTTAGATAGCAACTGATTAAAATGGAAGTTTTAGGACGGATGTATGAACAAAGCAGTCAATGTAACTTGTAGTCTATCTTAATGCGACTTTAGCCAACAATGATTATATTGAAATATTAATTTATTATTACTTGTAACGGTAACAAATATCAATCTGTTGGGGTTAAAGTATAATATCAAATATCAATCTGAAAAATTCTTGTATGGATGGAATGGGTTACGAAAATATTTGAATTATGAGTAGGCAAGCATCAATACATGTACACCTGATGAAACTAGGGTAAACTGAAGTATTAATAAGGCCTTATATGTTATAAATCTAAATTTGGTACCTATAAATTAGATGGTAGATGCTGAGTTGATATTGAAGACGGATGGATGAACTGTTTCGTGTGTGGATATTGTTAAATATAGAAACCTACTAAAGGAAAAAGAAGAAAGGAAAAATAGATAAAGAAATAATAAATAAGACTTACAATCAATTTAATTTAACTATCAGACGACCGGTTTCGCTTTCTACAATATGCAAAGCATCCTCAGGTCTCGGTATAAAGTTAAATAAATGCTGAAATGATAAAAACCCATATTAGGGTGTTGTCTAATAAAGATAAACAAAGTAGATGTTGTAAATTACAATAATTATGCCAATATTACATGTCTGTGGTTTTATTTCAAAAAGAGTAAGTTGAATAAAAAGGTATAAAAGTTTTAAAAGTTTAAACAGACAAGGTAAGGCCCACAAATTGTTATAAAATAGTCTATTAGATAGATTGTAATAAATTAGTAAATGAGCAAATAAATAAAAATAAACATTACTTACATGCCGGTACTCTATTAATTGATGGATGGTAGAACATGGTTGAAACTACTATGTATTGTTGAATGGAGAACTCAATTCTGTTATTGTAGTTGTTTGACAGTAAACGGGAAGTTCTTGAGGAGATAGATTTGATCCAATGAAGCAGAGATATGAGTGTGATTGTTTGTTGAATGAAAGTGATGTAATATACCATTGTATTATTAAAAGTTATTTATACTTATTCGAGAGATATATTTATGAAATGTGTGTTATTTATTGAGTAATTGTTTTATGAAGGTGACAGTTTTATGACAATAAATAAGTTTAGATGTACAAATTGTGTGGGTATGCAATTATTTTTCAACTTGTAGTTATCAAATTACTTTGATAAAGTTCTATTGGCAAAATAGTAGATTATTGCAAAGTCAAGTAAATAAAATATTAGAATTAAAACAATTAAGGACAATTTAAAACACACTAAAACAGAAAAACACTTAGAAGGGACGAAATAAACATTAAATTTAAAAGGGGGAAGGACTTTAATGCATTACATCTAAGTCCTGGGGACAATGAGTTTTTTATGTGTTATCTATTAGATTTTAGTGGTAAATTTGACAGATGTAGGTTAGCATGTGACAGTTCTTCTTCTGTTTCTCAATACTGCTAGTTAAGTTATCTAGTTTTATGAAATATGCTGTTATTAATGAATGTCTATAAATTGTTTCAATTAAGATATCAAAAATAAATTTATGAATTTAATATTGGCATACTTTGATAATATTGACTTTAATAATTGAAATACATCCCACATTATAACTAACTCAGTCTAATGTCCAAATTACTGAACAAATTAAAGTGATTCTTTGGCAACTGAACATGTACATTTTATAATCAAATGTATAACAAGTTTACAAAAGGTTTTTTTTTGAAATTATTGTAGGTGTGAGTTATCTGTCATGGTGTTTTTAAATATTTTAGATATTTAATTCAAATTCTGATATATTAATATATTAATATCTGATATATTAATATGTAACCAAAGCAACAAATGGATAATTATTGATGGTAATTAATTTATGGGCTCAAGAAAGTGACTGAATTATAAAGCCTTCAGTCAATTTCTTGAGCCCATAAATTAATTACCATCAATAATTATCCATTTGTTGCTTTTATTACATATTAATATATCAGATATTAATATATCAGAATTTGAATTAAATATCTAAAATATTTAAAAACACCATGACAGATAACTCACACCTACAATAATTTCAAATAAAAATAAAAAACTTTTGTAAACTTGTTATACATTTGATTATAAAATGTACATGTTCAGTTGCCAAAGAATCACTTTAATTTGTTCAGTAATTTGGACATTAGACTGAGTTAGTTATAATGTGGGATGTATTTCAATTATTTGTATTGTTACATTAAAATTTAATTAATTAAAGATTGTTGAAGTATGCCAATATTAAACACATCAATTTACTTTTGATATCTTAATTGAAACAATTTATAGACATTCATTAATAACAGCATATTTCATAAAACTAGAT